CCTCACCCTACTGGCGCTGTCGAGAAGAGTGGTTTCTTTTATTTCTTGATTCGCTCGAGGAGCTCACAACCGTGATTTTACTCTTGGCGATCTTTTCGAGGGATTCATCACCATTTGTTGGTCAATCATTTGTTGGTCAATCACCATTTGCTCTTCTCTCTCCTATCAAAAAAGAATGTCGGACGAAACATTGCAGGAAAAAAAGAGATCGAAGGCACGTAATCGATTGGAATATCTCCAGTGAACATAATTGCAAAATAAGATCTCACGCTTACACCTGTCCCACTCATCGCCGACACTGCAGCGCAGATGACATCCACTGGATGTCAAACGGATTCCAAGATATTATGATTCAACATCCTCAGGGAATCAATGACCCGTCATGCGTTCATAACCAAAACCACAACCACAGCCACAACCACGGACATATTTGAAAAGCGTCCTTCTCCATGCTAATCACGGGGATGAATGTTGCTCGAAATGACTCATTTGAACTTGCAAAAAACGTTCTGTGCCTAAATATTGAGCTTGGTCAATCTTTCCCTCAACCTGAGGAACCGACAGCTAGGTTTTTTAGGCGTTACAAAGAACGCCAGACACTTGGGAAGTAAAAGAAAATTAGCCGTTCGCCTGTCATAACGTCACAGAGCCAAGGTCAAATTCAGTTTAACCGTCCAAAAAACGGGACACGTCGCGGTTTTAATCGCGACGTTATTGCTGCCTCTTACATGTTGGAAGATAATTTTACCGATATACATTATGGAATTGCGTTCTCCAATTTTGTAAGCTTTCATTTGGTACGTGATACGTTCAGGTTGCAAAACACAGGCATGAGATGTACGAGGCACGTATCAAACCATTGTATGCGTCCCTTTCGCTTCGCCCGGTTTCCCTCTGCCAGTCTCGATCGGGGGCGAACCGAAACCGTTACCGATAAACCGAAAGAGGGGGGAGGCATAACCTGCTCGAACTGCTCCTATCGCACCACTGTTCGCTTAGCGTTCGTGGAAACAAGATGGCTCAATAGGGAAAGTCTTCGAAGGCTATAGGCCCTATATAGCCATATCGCCCAACACACTGCGATTTCCATCTACTTCAGGAAGATTCCGTAAGAAAACAAATGGAGCAACACCATACAATAACCGATTTCGTTAGAAATAGTTCGATCGGTTCCTCCTGCACCCAAAGACAAAATTTCGAATTTTAGTCTTATCGGATCGCTAATACAAATTCCTTTGGGGGTAGGAAATTTTTCAAAGATAATAGTTTAAAGAAATATGCTAGAGCCTTGATTTAGATGGGATTCACAGCATATTAAGTGGCTAGTTTAAGATTTGTTTTTATTTTTTATATATTTAATATTCAAGGAAAAGAATAAAACTTCTTACGACAAATTGGAATCCCGAAAAGGATGACACCGTCGGTAAACTGTCGCACAAATTTGACAGTCCGCCGTCCTCGCCGACCCCCCTGCATCTAGAAGCAGGACTTGGGACGATGGTCGACACAGGTCGGTCGCGAGGGAGTCGGACTCGTTCGAGGCAGGGTCGTCGTCACACACGAGAACGAGAGGAAACCCTGCAAACGACGTCATCGTCAGTTCCTCGTCATCGCGCCGCGGATGTCCTATCCTATGGCCCGGATGCGGGCAATCGCCTTGGGTATCGCCCTGTTTCCTATAGGAAACCCATGAGTTTCCCATAGAATCCTATAGGATACCGAAAAGAATCCTATAGGATCTCATAGGCATCCTATTGGATCCTCAAGGTGTCATATAGGATTCTTTGGGATCTTATAGGATTTTATATGAAACCCATGGGATCCTAAAGGCTTCTTATGGGTTTCCTATATGATTCCTATAGGATTCCTGTACCTGTATATTCCACATTCCTGTATATATAACACTTTTCAATTTTCAGCCACTCATGATTGGTTCGGGCTATTGTTACCTGACTTTGCGGGCAGAGTAATGCATCAAATAAGCACGTGTATGCAACGTCATGGCAATGGCCATTCCCTGGTACTTGAAACACAGAAGTCAATTCAGAGCGTGCTGGCAATATGGCAAAATTCGGTTTTGTGCCTCGTGCAGGATGATCGACACAATGCTTTGAAACATGGCCGACATAACCGCATGCATCTCACCCGTTCGACACTTTTATGAGCGGCTCGAAGTGCCATCCTGCGAACGGGCACGTGACATTGGTCACGTGACTGTTCATTCACGTGACATCGGTCAAAGCTCGAATGCCCTACGGCTCGTGTTCTGCCAGTACCCATGCTTCACTTGGAAATAAGCTGCTGCATCTCCGAAATGAATGAACGGATATTTACTTCACTTCGCATGCATGTGTTCATTTGGTGTCTCAGTCAGCCCTCAAAAGCGCACAGCGATAGTCCGAACCACTTAGCAGGAAAAAAATGTGAAGAACCAGAAATCACATATCGCTCACGTATGGAAGAACATACCCTCAGTTTCAATAAAACATTTCATGCTGACCGAAATGGTCGTGCCACTACAACTAGTTTTCAATGCAAGGCTGGCATGATCGAAAGGGAAGTTGTGAGACATGGATCACCATGGCTCGATGGCATCACCGTGTTATTCCCCCCCAACGCACCTTTCGTCCTCGTCCCTTTTCCAGGAAAATCAAGACCATTCCATAGGAGACGCCTCAGACGAATGGCAGAAGATGCCAATGTTCCCCATCGCTTCGTGTGAACTCCACCTGACAATGCTGGTTTGTCGTGGCAATGTCTTTCCGGTCCTAAACTCGTAGGATTTACGATATCGCGATATCGCGCGACATGTGGTTGACGATATCGATCCCTTCGAGACCCATTTTAGTCAGAACGGCTTTGAGGAGTATAAAATAACACAACGAAGTAAGGATTATCATTAGGGCCTTCATAAACCCCTGAGGCTGGGGCTCAGGGATTTGCACGAGGTGGTCTTTGTAATGAGATGGTTTGTTGAAAACCCTTCAAAACTATGATTAGGAACAGCACCACAAAACGGACGTTGAAGCAATGTACGTGCATAATGTGTATGCATAATGTGTATTCATAATATGTATGCATAATATATATGCATAATGCGCATGCTCCCCTTGCTAAGAAAAATTGCTTGTGAAGTCTGACATGAAAACTGCAAATTTGACAGTCCGCCGTCCTCGTCGACCCAAGGGAAATTCCCAAGCAGCATGTTCACGTAAACAGGATATACATTTTTTGCAAACCGTGTAAACTTACGTTCCTGTATTTATGTCCCTCAAGTGTACGTGTATTTTACGTAAACGAGACGTCACTCCATCTGACGCGAAGTACATGATACAAAGTTTATGCAAAATTAACACCGCACCATCCAGACGAAACTTTCGCTGACCATCCCGCAGTTGCAGTACCTAGCTTCCTCACTAGATGGAACCTTTGTTCCCTGCATCCTACAAATGCTATTAAGTACTGGCTTTTCTGGTATAGTATCATGTTTTCTTACCATCTTAACACTATTCATTATGCAACCCATGAATATACAGTAGATGGACCGTGGGAGGGTCCATCGATAATGGTGAACATTGAAAGTGTGATTCCCATGGTTCGGACGACAGCCACCTACGGTGCGGTTGATGCATGGTACCATCTAATGAAAAGAATAAAATATGGGGTGATCTAAAAAAAAAAAAACACTACCGTTTTCTATGGGAGAAGAAAATTTTCATAAATGCAACTAAGAAGTTGGATACGCGAACGATATTGATCAGTTACAACGTGTTCAAATGCACGTCAGCTTTTTTTCAGCACCCCTTCCGAAATCGTGCGATACCCATTTAGAGGTGAATTAAAGGTGCTTAGAGGTGGATCATTCCACCTCAAGCGAGGTAATGATTTGTGCTGAACCGACTCAGGATTCAATTAATTTCGACAAAGGTCGGATTATTTTTAGAAGAGCCCACAGAAAAAAAGTATTTACTTCGAGCGGAGGCTGGAGAAATATGAGTTTTAGTCTGATTATGGGGACACTAAGTAGCCCCCAAACCCCTGATTCTAAATTCCTGACAACTCGATTGTTATTTTGTCATTACCTTATTTTGTTCGGCTGTAACTTTCCAGGGGACGGTTGAATGCAGTTGATGCTTGACAGAGAGGTTCACGAGTGTAAGAGATTGTTTCCCATCCGCTAGATGGCACTCTATGCCGATAGAGAGTGCTGCTTCACCTTATCGACGAGACCTGTAAGGTTTCTCTTTTGAGCGTTTGAACTTTACATGAACCTTTAACCATTTTGACCTTAAACCAGTAACGTTTTTTACCAACGGTTTAAGGCCAAAACAGGGCAAACTAATTGGATTTTGAGATGACGGAGCATAGACCATTCCTGCATTTGAGATGGAATGATCTACCTGTAAACTTTGTAATGGGACAATGCATCGCTCAAAATACTGTTCTGCAAAAAACCAAATCTTCTCACACTGTATATATGCACAATATCATTTTTAGATATCATGAATCTCATCATGTTTGCTCGAATATGCGAATCTTACATTTTCCCATAGAAAACGGAGGATCATTTATTTTGAATCACCTTATATATACTGCACTGGAATATTAAAGAAGAGTTGTATGTCATCCTGTGATGATTGAGACTGCAAGCACGAATCGTGAAACCAGATGAACCTTCTGTTGATCGCTGGCATCAGATGGCTGTCGCCTTCTCGACCTCCCGTAAAGCGTAGAAGAGCGAGCACGATGCTCTTGATGGAATCCTCAGCAGGAGAATGGGTAGGCAAACCGAACAGCTGCCTGAGAGGCAGGCTCGTTCCCTTCCTGGCCGGGATCACGGGCATACGGGTTTTCCGAATTCAAATCTCTGAGATAGATTCATCGACACTTTCTGCTCGACGGAAGTAAAAACATCGAGAAGTGGCGTCTTCGGATCCTGATCTAGTGTTATATCATGCCTCGTCCCCCGAGAAGCTTTTTTTTTCATAGTACTGAAAGAGTCAATAGTCCCTTAGTGCCTTGTCTGGTGAGCGCAGCGATTGCTTAGGAACATCGAAACCGAGATAATCTGTGACATTCCATGTTTGCCGGCTGTTATATGGTTTCTCATTGTCATGCTGTAGCAGAACACGTGCACTCAAATATTATATGTATCCAGAGTTAATGCATAGAAAGGAATGACGTTTCATATCTCATATTTTCAGTGGAAGTACCCACACACTTTTTTTCAATGTCGCTATAAAATGAGCAATTGCTGCTTACGTACCACTTTCTTGCCTCACTATCTTGATCCCACGTTGTCCTATCTTATTTTATTATTTTACACGTTTCATAGTGTGCCAGACTCGATTATCTGTATGAATGTTAATGACTTTTAGACCAAACCGAAAGTGAAAACGGTTAGAAATGTTTGGTCTTCATTAGGCTCACATGTCCGTTTCCGTTGCAAAAATACAGGATGCCCTAAAAGTTGCTTTACAGAGACGGTGAAGTGTTTAACTCTGATTATTTTCACTTGCGTTCGGGCTTTTATTTGCAGATGTGAAATGTGCATTGAACATGATGGACAACAATTTGAACAATTTCTGTAGCTCCTCATTGTCACTTTCTGTTGGTGGGTGGCTGTAAATAAAGTAGTTTTTCCCTGGAACGTGAGAATAATTTCGGTAAAGCGACTTTTAGGACACCCTGTATATGGCCTGGATAAGGGCTGTATGGAGAGAGCAACCAGAACTGCGGAAAGACCAGTGTTCTTATCAGAGACAGAGACGAGCTGGAAGGGTTTTATTGCATGTACAATTCTGATAGAGGATTGTCTAAAATTCAAGAGAAAGGATTTTCTCGTGGGTATATATGTATCATCACTCACAAAAATACACGAGGTTGCTCGCAAAATGTGAGTTGACATGGAAGGGGAAATGCTTTCCACTCCCTTACGAGGTTTCCTTCCGCCACTCCTTCCTCCAGAACTTCCAGCGTCCCCACTGGCCCAAAGTTATCTCCTCCCAGGGCTACGAGCCGTCCGTGAGTGTCCTCCATCAGGCCTAAGCCCGACCTCGGGGTGTGGAAAGATGGCCAGTCGCAGGATGCTTCCCACTTCCTTGCCTTCAGATCAAACACCATCACCTGGGAAGAAGTTTCCATGTCTGCCGTGATTCCACCAGCAAGAATAATCTGCGTCTCCTTCCATGCCATCGCCGCTGCCTTCTGTATTGGTTGCGGGATATCTGGGAGGATGCTATATCTCCCACCATCGCGGAAGTCAAAGATATACGCCGTTTGTAACGTCTCATTTTTTTCTAAATCCTTTCCGCCGAGAATGAGGATGGACCCATCGTCCAAAGATGTTCCCGCTGCATTGGCGATCTTCCTTGGAAAAGCGGGAAGAGGTAGCCACATTCGCCCTACTTCCCCCAAAATAAACATCCCTGCTACTGACTGAGACCTCGTCCCATCTCCCTGGGCCAACGCTTTCTTGGGAAGATGTGATGGGTCCGCAAGCTCTCCTCCAAAGAGATAGAATCGTTTCCCAGGCACGGAGCAGGGGATGAGGCATGTGCTTTGAGTAACAGCGAAAGGGGAGGAGTCTCCATCAATAGAAGAAATGTTCTGGTAAGTAGGAGGACTCCAAGATGGATCGTCCGACAATTTGGCCATGAACGTCTTTCTTCCTTTGAAGAGGTATACTTGATCCTCCGCGCCTCCACATACCCCTTCTTTCACTCTCTCCTTTGGTCGCCCCTTTGGTCTGGCATGTAGATAATCTCTTTCATACACTGTCTCATTTAAAACCTGGTGGAAGGAGCAATGATGATTGCTGTAACAGATTACGCCGATCCCTTCCCATCCTTCTCTGCATTTCACCCTGGCCACCACGCCTGCTCAAAAGAAGGAGGAAAGGAACATTGCAAGATAAATACAAGGATGCTGAAATGGCGACAATTGTCGTTAGGACACCACACAAAGGCGGGGGTCAAACTTGCATCTGACAACCACAAAAAAGAAAATCATTAGTTGTTCATATATGAATATCTTTTTATGTGACTTTCATAGACCTCGAGTGACTATATATATTTGGAGAGAGGGAAGGAGAGAGAGGATTATGCAGAGAGTCAGCAATATCCTGATGTCTGAAATGATATTATGCAATTGCGCTCTGAATTATTCTTGAAGATTAGTTGACAATTATGAAGGGGAAATGTTAATAAATACAGTACTTCAGGATGGCACAGACCAGCGTCAGGCCGAAGCAGAGGGAAATGTATTAATGTGGCCTTGCTGCGAGGATAGTTTTCCTCGCAGTTGCTTTCTTATATTAATAATTATTTGAAATTGATTTTTTTTACCACTTACTGAAGCACGTACACTGAAGAAGCATATGCAATTTCAAACGTGTAAACCTATTAGAAATAAATCACCCTTGAATTGATACATTATGAAGGAGTCGATCAGGGTCTACACCAAGCTACCACAGCCTCATTTGAGCTCATAAATAATGGAAAACAGAATTAGGAAATACAATTCTTATCACTCTTGAAAATGAAATGCACGAGCTAGGATGTCCGTGGTTGAATCTTGATAGCTTTAAGTTACACAATTTACACGCACCGCTCTTCCGGGTTCGATACGGTGTAAAATGGGAATTCGCTAAGGTCCAAATGTTCCTGCTAACTGTCTGAAGCAACATAGGAACTATGGCCGAGATCATTTCCTAGTTGAGCAACGGTTTTTTGCGAGTATTTATAAAACATTTTTTGAACGAACTCAATCATATTTTGTGACAAAAGTTGAACGTTCAGGAGAATAGAGGTCATCATTGACAAGGAATAAACTTATATTGGATCCCGAGCACCACTTGCAGACTACAATAGTCAGAAGGTTTGTCAACCCATGAAAATTCTTGAAACTCAAACCTATCCGAGATCTTGAAATTACTTCAACATGAAACCTTCAGAAGTGGGTTAGATTTTCTCATTTCAATGTACTCAAACCAAAATCTTTTGTGAGATGGTGGAAACTCTTTGCTTAGTTATTGGAAAGCAACAATGAGGTTTCAGGGTGATTACCCTTCAGATATGTTGAAGCTCATAGGTGGTGGAGTCGGTTAAGGCGGGTCTCATTCATCTTATGAACTCAATGAGATCATACATATTTAGGAACTTTCTAGATTATTTGTAATAAATGACCACTAAGCTTTTGTGGCTATGTGAGTGGGTGGGTGTTGAATAAAATAAATGCAATATTTGAAGCATCATTTTCTTAACTCCAGTTGGGCCAGACTTTCGCTGAATGGAGATTAAGTTCCCAAGTAATGTTTGATACATTCATTTGATGATTGGAAAAATCACCATAGTACCGGAACATGTTATTCAAATCATCTATCCCCTCCCCTTAACCCTTTGCTATCCATTTTATTTGTAATTCTATGGAGATTGTCGGACTATGTCCGACAATGGACGCAAAGAGTTGAAGAATATTGCTACCGGTTCATTGCGTGGTTCCTAGGAAGTTGACAGAGTATCCCTGCTTCTCATCGGATTAACTTTTTATTTTGCACGCGTGAAAACGCAAGAAATGATCGAGAGGAGAAGGAACGGGGGCCGGACTAATCCACACATCACATGGGCTTGAAAACCGTACAATAAAATATTTCATGAAAAATATGATGAGATCCAATGGCCGTTTACTTTCCATCTGTGCCAAAATTTTCAAAGCATGAAAATCAAAATGATCTCAATGAATTACGGTAGATAAGAATACAAGCACTCACGTGGCGGGAAGAGCTCTTTGAAATACTTCCGTCGCGGTTCCTATGAATAAAAAAATTACCATTATTCGACATTTCTGTGAAAAGCTCTTGGAACTTTAGAAATTAAAAGTCTGCAGAAGTGAGGAAAATATATATCTGAAGTCCACATGAGTCTGCTCAATCTGGCAATTTAGAGTCTAATTAGACAGATTAACTGAAGGCAACTCGCAATAATTCATTGGTACAATTTCCCCATGAGTAACAAATATTACAGTGAGAGTAGTTCCAATGAAGGCTTTTCCGGACATCTCGTGGTTCAGAACTCATGCCACTAGGGGGGAATGAATATTTCTAGAATATATTCATTGGAACATTAACATTCATTAGACTCATATTTACGGCGAGGTCCTTCCCCCCAAAACTCGTCCTGTTTGACACTTTATAAAACCCGCTGTGGGTGAACTAGGTTCGTGACGCTTTCGTATCACGTTGGAAGCATTACAAAATGTGTTTCCTGAAGCGTTCATGTACCTAGGTAGTCTGAATGAAAATCGGCAGTCGTTCAGAGTGGAGTCAAAATGTTACCTTGTCCGCCCATAAGTTGGATGGAGTTTCAGCACTGCTTGAATTATTTCTCTCACTTGATGCCATGAATACTGCATTTTAAATAATGTCCATGTAGTTTTCGACGGGTCGTGTAATGTTACTACTGTTGTATATCGCAGCATTGGAATCATTACTACGCAGTATCTTATAACTGGTATACCTGGTATAACAATTTCCATTAATGGCGTCAAGAGAAAAAATCATTCGAGCAGTCATGAAAATCCATCCACTTCATGCATGGAAAATGTAACTTTTTGTCTCCACTTTGAAAGACTGTCAATTTGCATATAAACTAGGAACACGAAACTTTCAGAAAAAGCAATTTTGTGATGTTCCCGATTGGATATGAAAACATCACGAACTTAGTTCACCTAGAGCGGCTGTTATAAAGCGTGACACAGGACGTATTTTGGGGGGGCACCCGGTATAATAAATGTATGCATATTAAAATAACAAAGGGATATTATAGGAAAGTCACTCATTATGACAACCTTCTTCGAATCTGCTAGACTTGCCCGCAAATCATTGATCTCGATCAGCATCTGAAACCGAACCGAAGGAAAATGCATTCAATTATATATTATTTCATGCACATGGATTGCCCTAAAGCTGCTTTGCTTGTCATCGCTTCCCACTGCACTGCTTTTATTGTATCGTAATGTTAGGTCCCTTTACATGAAGCAGTAGAATTATCTAACACAGCATAAGTTACTCATGGTTAATATGTGCATCAATTTTCTAATTTGTAGAAACTCGTTTGATTGGATTTTGAGCATAGTTTCTCAGAGAAAGTTCCTCCCCCCACCCACCTCCCTGCCCCTCCGCCTCCCACCCTTAGAAGCTCTCCTATTATATAGTAGTATAGATGAACAACGAATGAGTCATTGCGACTCTCTTATGAGATCTGCCATTTTTCTCATGAGGATTATGATGATCCTATGAGGCGTCATGATGTTCTCAAGAGAAAGTTGGGTAACCTCATCAGACTTCTGTTCGAACGCCTCATGAGACTTTTCGGCAGGAAAGACTCCACTGGTAGAAATTTCTTCGAAACTGCCTTTTTGGGGGTTAAAGTCGCTTTAGATGACTGCCTGCATTTTGTCTATTAATGCTTCTTAAGGAGAAAATCCGCAAAGTGGGAAATATCATTTTATAAATATATATAAACTAGAATGAACATATTAGAAATTACTCATAGGTTTTGGAGCGTATACTGTACTGTATAGGTATTACTGTAACACATGTGTTACTGTAATGACATAAACGGTCCTATCGTTTCCTACTGTTTACCTTGTGCTTCCATAAATGCCCGACGTGATAAGCGATCTGAAATTCAACATCTCCAAATTACATAACGTTCCTTCAATTTGGCCTAAGCTGAAGGCCGAATGGACCATCATGCTAAGAAATTCAAGATGGGATGTAGCTCATCCATTTAGACTGTTTATGTCGTTTTTTCTGAATCTACATTAGCACATCGCCTGTCAGGGTTTGTGTCACGCTATGACTCTCTCAGCCACATGTGGATGACATGGCAGCCAATGTGTTTACCCATTTTCTTACTAAGCCGGTGATTCGCCGGCCGCTAAAGCGATGCCGATTCTTACGAAACTGGTCATCAGTCAGTCGTAGCCGGCTACGTGTTCTTAAGAAGTTCGTGTGTTTCTCCTGGAAATAGCAACATAAGTTGCATATCGTCTTAAAGCTGAAGTTCTGATCGATATTAAATTATGAAATCGAAATTATGATCAGTGAAAAAAAAAGATTTGGTGGTTATTTATTGCTTGGAAATTAATTCGCCAATGGGTTCATTTTTGTTTTGCTCGTCAATCGAACAATCGATATTCTATCAGTTTGGTGTACTCGGTGTATGTCACATGAGGTACCGTCAAGCAGGACTTGTTCTGGAAAAGAATACCTTTAAGGGACTGATTCAAACCGGAGGACCTCGGTCCTAATCAACCGAGGTCTAGAAGTAAAACATATAGCGTGCGCGATCCTGACCGCTAGTTAGGCCGAGCGACAAATGTGTGTTGTGTGTGTGTGTGTGACAGCTCTACTGGCCAAACGCTTCGAGATATGAACTTCAGATTTCAACAGAACTCTTCCTTATCATCTTTGGATGTATCTTTTTGAAATGAAATTTAAAAATTGGCCTCACGAAAAAAGGGGGGCCGGCAACTTTCACGGAAACCTATAGATTCGCTCTCGTCTCGCCATCTCTCGGATGAACGAAGAGATAAGAGTTGCCGTGGAACTGACAAGGGAACGTTATTATCGCTTAATGCTGTGCCTCCCTTCTGCTGCTTGGAATAAGTGGATTTTATGTGTCCATGGTGAAATACGTGCCGTTTCGTCAATTTGTCGCCACTTGCGTTCACATGGGCTACATGAAGAAATGCATCACTGCAGTTTCCTCCTGCAGGTCCATCTCTCAAATTGCAGAAGTTGAGAATTGTACAATGATCTCTATTGTCACTCCTGACATCATCTTCAGTCCTTTGAAAGCGCTCACGAACGATGCAAGGAAGCCGACGAAGAAGATAATTTTTCAAAGGTTATATGGTTTTTCCGTGTAGCAGTCACATTGATATATGGCAAAACATTAAAAGTATAATCTTGGGACAGGCAGCTTGCAGGAAAAAAAATGGTGGTTTGCAAATTGTGACTGCCGTGCGTTGCATGTTTCCTATTTTCCTACATTCGTATGAGCCGATGTACGATGTTAACCGTTGATGCTTTTGAGACTGGGACTCTCCCTCATGCTGGTGGTTCATTTCCCGTGGTTGTGGTCTCACGTCTGTGCGCCGACACTGAGAAGCTGTGCCGCAGATTGCATTGTGAAAATTCTCTCGCTAAGGTCGGAACGTGCACTACGCATAACACGCTGCTTTCAAAGTATAACATTATGTAGAATGGTTTCTTTTTATTCGCTCTATGGACACCGTGCTCGATTGGCATGCTGAGGTTTCACGTGGAAAGTAATGTTAAATGAGCTTTGAGAAATGACATCGGCGTGGCATTGCCGTTTCGGCCTGGGATTTTATTAAATTAATTTCATTTGCCTTTGTTGACACGGTGCTCCATTCACATGATCGAGTGCTAAGGATGACCACTGATCAAATGTGACCTGAAGGCTTTATACATTGCTGAAGTAGCACATAAACGCTCTCGAGGGCGTTCACTGTGTTTTCAGAGATTTTGGATGTTTAATGTACACGAATGAGCGGCTTTTTGGCGCTCATTTAATGTGCCGTTTCATCACAAAACATGCCGCATTTGAAGGATGATTGTTGAATGTTAGAAATATTTTTTTAAAGCATATCAATTGTATCCATCTGATGATGGCTTGAAGCAAAGGTTCACACCATCGACGCTAGATGATTCCTAGCCAATTCACTCATGTAAAATGAGTGAATTGCCCCGCGCTCCTCCACCAGACTATCCCGGAAAAGAGATGATTCCCTTCAACCAGACTAATCAGCTACATAATAGCCTCTGACTCCTGCCGCGGGAGTAGGACTTTACGTGAACTGAATGCAATTGAAGTGATGAAAAGAATGTACCCGAGACATTAATTGTAAATTGGATGAAACGTGAAAAATAAATTTTAATTGAACCCTATTCTTGGAAGTTTCCAATTCGCGTCCTTTATAAGCCCAGGTAGTTCAGGGAACACATAATTGGAACTCTTGCTGTTGGACATTTTGTTGGAAATGTTGGACATTAAAATAGTCAATAGAACTTTCCCGAGGACGTTCATGGAATGATGCCTGAAAATGAAACGTTCATTGGACACGTTTGGGTGCTCCACGGGTCTCTCTGAATTTCATTCTGACGCCTCCCACACCAGAGCATTTCATTTCCTCCGGTTTGCAGCAGGTTTACCTGCCACTAGTTATCTAATACAATCTATCACGAACAACACGAAGTCTATCTCATCTGAATTCACCTCCCGGGTTGTCATAATCGCTGAAGGAAGTTATTAAACGTATCAAATATTTTCAAAGATTACATTGGTGGCGATACTTCTCTCGTTACAGGAAACGAACGGTTTCAAATGGCCAAGTCAAAGGGTGGCCGCTCGACCTTACGTTAAATGCTCATGAAACGCATGAACTCCTGCAAATCGGGTATATATACAGACCTAACATTTCGCAAAAAAAGTAACTGCAGATGTATTGAGATGATAAATTTTCCGAATTATCGGATACATACGGTTTGCTGTAATTTTGCAGGGGTGCCAATTTCCAAAAAAAAAATACTTTTTGTTCTAGTGAGCTAACCGAACACGCTGTCAGTTTGTCCCACTGTTGTTTTAAGCGTACTGATTTCGGAAAAAAAGTATTTCAGTAGATTTCCCCTCGACATTTCGATTTAGAGTGGCTATGCCCAATCCACTTACTGCCGCTTAGGCCAATGGCATTTCTATTCGCACATTTCCGTCAAAGAAACGGGAACGTTAAAAAAACAAACAGGAATTAAACAACAAACAGGAAGCAAATTATTGGAATTCCCGCAGGCTCCAACTATTCAACTAACCTGGCTAACTCACTGCTTTTTTCACCTTGAATCAAAGTTTATTTCGGAAACCCCATTTTCTGACGAATATTCCTTTACTTTCTGATATATCGACAATCTCATGGCATATGAGCTCATAGCTCCACCTCTAAGCACCTTTAATTCAACTCTAAATGGGTATTGCACAACTGCTCGGCAGTTGAAAAAAAGTGACATGCAATTCACACCTTTGATCCATCCCATCATACAAGCATCCAATGTCGATCGCGAGCCAATGTGACGAATTTGTTACATTGGCTCGCGATCGACACCATGTTCCATGTTACTAATGTTACATTTATGAATCTGTATTTCTCCCATAAAAAATGCTAGACTGTTTTTTTAAATCTCCCCCAATATATACCTTGTTTATAACACAGTAAACTTTTATGAGGTTTTCTCATGGTACTATGATTAATTCTACTTCAAGAGTATATCAACTGTTGGTTGAATGTTAGAGGTTGACATCCCCAGCCATAAAAGTTCACGCTTCAGCAATACTAGCAGGATTTGAAAACTGCTAATTCATATAACCAGTTATCTTCCCAAATATACACTCCAATTCACTGACAAATGGTTTCTATTCACGGTTAGTAATAACCCACTTGAAGTTCACCTTCATTCGCTAGGTGGAGTTCGTAAATGCATTATGTCTCATTATCAGTTCATCTAATAAAAAGGAAAAGTTCCCATTGTAACTGAAACATTTACATATGAAAACGCGCGAATCACCCTAACGGAACTCTTCGTTGGTTGAGATAGAAAACAGAATAGATTCTAGACCTCCCCGAAACGTTGATTGAGGTGTTCGATATTGCACTTGGCGTCTTCCATCTTTCGTCGTTCGAACTCCCGCAACTGTGAATCTAATAATTCTACGGTAGCCTCATGCTTGGCCTTCAACTTCATCGAATCCATTGTCTTTTCCTTTTCATTCTTCAGTGCCTCAGACTCGGTCTGCAGTTTCTCCTTCAAGGAAGTATTCTCCTTGATCAGCTATAGACAAAAAATATGTATCAATGATATCAGATCATGTGGAACTGGATGTGAACTCGTCAATCAGCCATGACAGATACATCCGTCACGATGAATATATATTTTACGTATAATATGTTGTTTATTTTAATCGATTCAAGATGAAGTCGTGTTCTGCACTACGTATTTTATTATATTAATGAAAAAATGTTTCATGTTTAGTAAATTAGAAGAAACATTATATTATGTTTGTGGGAAAGTTCTGTCGTTTTTGTTTATGTACAATTGGATTCATTTCCCAAAGACGAATACGGCTTATACTCTAATCCACAAATATAAAAACAAAAACAATAGATGATTCATCACTAGCTTTATTCGTATTTGGGAGATAAGCACAACTGTAGATGAGCAAAAACGAAAGAAATTTCCCACGAACTCAATAGTACCTCGACTGTAGCTGCTGTTTATTATTATTTCCACGTTATGAGTACTACCTTGTTCATAAGATTACGCGCTTGACGGGTTCATTCAACCCGTTCATTCAACCCGCCTCTTTTCCTATGAATGTAGGAAGAAAGCAATTGTTGCAATGAACTTGTTTCTCTGATTTCTCGGACCATGATCCAAAGCGAGTATTAATGTGGCGTTCGAAAAGTACTTGAAACTAGTATTTCATTTACGACATAAACTGTATTTCCATGTTAATACTGCAATCCTTCTAAGTTTTCACGCTGTGATTGCACACACCAAACAATGATGAAGCCACTTCTGAATTGCGTCAACATATGCTTCTTTGGGTATCCCTCTTTGGTATTTAGTCCAGACAACCGTTACAACATGTTAAGAAACAGGCAGGACGTGATCACAGTCACAGGGAGCTAGATCTGGGCTATACGTTGGGTGCGGAAGCACCTTTAACTTGTTCTCCTCCAAGATGCCCAGCACTTGTCTTCTGCTGGCATTGTTATGGACGTTGTGGATCCTCCCTGTGTGAAGGCGAGAAGGTTGATTTTGCTGAAAATGCTGATGAACATGAGGGAAGACATTGCTAGCATAGTACGCCATAGTAATAGTTTGGCCTTCAGGTAGTTGTCAGGCAGAACAGCTCCTTCAGGCAGAACAGCTCTTCTACTTTGGAAGAATGTTGGAAACATCCTCCTGTTTGACTTGAATCCAGTCTTCAAAGTTATGGGACGTGCCTCATTTGAAGCTATCCAAACGATATTGTCCTTTTTGACCTGCTAGAAGAAATGAAACCATTTCTCATCACCATCATAGATGTCTGAAAGGCGATGTACACCACCTTCACCAAACCTCTGCAGTATTCGCTTGGCAGACTCAACCCTTTGAACTCTTTTCATCTTTAATTGTTGATGGGGAACCCATCGGGCAAACACTTTTAGTCCTAGTTTCTCACGTTGCATCTCCTTAGGACTTCGATTAATATGGAGAGCTCTTAAAAAAAATTTCGAACTTTAAATTGGAGGTCTTCATCAATGAGAGTTCTTGCTTTCTGAATGTTCTCCTCAGTCAGGCTTGAAAGATATCTTCCAGAGCAGGGATCATCCTGAAGACTGGGTCTACCTTCTTGAAATGACCGAATCAAGTGGCAAACTGTGCCATAATAAGGAGCAGTGCCCTCCATGGTTGGTGTGAGGTATACTTGGATATTGGTTGCATTTTCAGTCAGGCTGTAACGTACTCAATTGTATTGATAGAATCTAACAGCGGCTGTCAGTCTCAGGGGCAGAAGCAGACATGATCATGATAAATGAGGTTGTCTGATACATGCAACCTGCACTTGATTAAGTACAGTATGCAGGTGAAGCTAAGACCCTAAGCCTCGGATAAGCAATGCCTTGTCAGAGAACTCTTACGCTCAATAAAGTAGGGATTATTTTCAAGAACTTACATAACTTCCCTCGTACTGTGAGCAGCTTTCATTGATTTCTACCCGTATGAAAGCATCTCAGGGTGCCTTCTAATATGTTTCATGGAGTGAAAAGCTTGTGTTTTACGTGTTTCACAGATGAGTCTGTGAAACACATAAAAGTAGCTACGACAAGGCTTTTTCCACTGTTTCCATATCTTTCAAGTACTCAACAACAACCATTCTAGGGCAGTTACATTACCTGGTCTATGACATCATCGCACAATTTGTAGAAATTCTGAACAAGACCCATACTCACTGAAATCTGTATACGTGGCAAAATTGTGAAACTGAGATTACGCATATTAGCAAATGAGGAATATTCTCCAGCATTTCTTCCCAAAATTGGTACTAAAACACTTTGGAGAGTAACATAGCAAAGTCCATAAACATGAACCATGAACTCTACTCACCACTTCTTCCTTCTTCTTCAGGAGACTCAGACTATCTTGGAGCTCTTCGATCCTCTTGTGCAGCTGATAGGAAATTTAGAAAATAAACCATAATCCAAATTTCTTTCGTCGAGCTAAAACTGCCTCATAAAGAATATAACTATGGGCAATTTAGAAATGGCAACATTGTCTATATTATGTACAACTAGCGAGTTTGTTTGCCCTTCAGGCAAACAAACTCGCTGTGGTCGCGCCTTCGACGCTCCATTACCATGGACAGTGCTTAATTCATTTATTCTTTGCGAAATGGCAAACACGTATTTAAAGTACGTCCCATTGGAATATGTGACATATGGGGACGAAAGTCCTCATTTTTATCAAAATCATTACTTCTATTATTTCTAGTGTGCCTAACTTGATATCTCTTCGTGTGTCCCTTTTTGCAAAGGTTGAGAATACATTTTCAAATACTTCCATTCTATAATCTATGCTCATAAGGCATATTTCAAAAGTAGGATTTTTCCTGTACTCAGCCATAAAACAGGTACTTCTGAAGTGAATTTGTAATTATTCGTTTCTGTTTCGTTGCTTCGAAAAATAATTCACGAAAATGGGATTTAAAAAACATGGTCTGATTTTTTTTAAACTGAATTTTTATTATTATTCTGAAATATAGAATCAGGGACCTCTTTCCACCCACTTTCAGCCTTATACGCTTCCCCATTTTGGTGGGGTGTAAAAAATATATTTAGAAAAGCAACCCACGCAAAAGCTGTTCTCTGGGGAGACGCTCAGCAAGAGTTGAATTTTTCCTTAAATCAACATCGCGTCCGTTATGCGTGCGCCAGCTGCTATTTTTCTATTTCTGCCCGTTTCGCAGGGATGTTTGATATTTTATTGAAAACGTTACGTCCTCAAGAAATATGCCCAAAAATATTTTTGGAAATTTGAAATTTGCCATTTCAACTGAGTGCTTCCCCAGTCACTTTCTTGCCATGTTACAGATTTCCATGGTCTTCCATTTAAAGCAAAGAGAACTAATTGGAAATATGTTCCCCGAAAAGGTGTGCCTCTATGGCGTCTATCACCAAAGTGTAATTTTTCCTGAACTCAGATTGTGAATAGCTACTTATGTCAGTCAGCTACTCACGATCATCTATATATAATATGAAAGTAGAATTGTTTCTTTACTCAGCTACTCATCTTTCCATTTCTTTGCCAAGTTCAACCTTTCTTGCAATCTCCGTTTTGCTGGATCCGAAATTTCAGAAATTTCAGGAAAGCCAACCCACCCAAATGCTATGCCTGGAGAAAATGCACCATGAGAGCTGAATACTCCCTCAACTCCATAAGATCACGTGACTCATACGTGTGCCAAGTCTCAACTTTTCCATTTCTGTCCAATTCGCCACGACAATTTTCTTTTTTTTTAAAACATCGCCCCTCGAGTAATTCTCCCCCAGGGATGTATCAAGGCATAACATTTTTCTTCAACTTCTTATCTTGGTAGTCACATTCATACAAAGTTCCAGCTTTCCATGTCCAACGGTTTAAATATTGCAAAAAAATTTTTTGAAAACATCTCCCTTTGAAATTCATGCCCCCAGAGCATTTTCATTCCAAAGTCTGAACTTTTCTGCACGCAACTACCCGGAAGGTAATTCTGTACCAAATTTCATCTTTCCCCACTAGCTCAATGCACCAGGACAAAAAAAAACTTAAAAACGTTGGCCCCAAAAAATATGCCGCCAGGGCATGGATCTAAAATGTTGCATTTCTCCTGAACCCATCGTGTCTGTAGGCACATGTATGGCACGTTTCAGCTTTCTATTTCTCTCTGTTTTACTCAAGCCACGGGACATGGAAGACAAGAGAAGCCAAAAAAAGGCATGCAATGGGAGGGAATTGAACCCTGGCCTCACGATTACGGATTGGATGTGCTACCACTACACCACGGAAACGGCGACATACAGACGCACCTCTCAAAGACATCCTTATCCATGACGACATATATTTCTCAAAAACTTCTCCCCCCAAAATGTGTACCCCCAGGGCATGTACCTCCAAAGTCGGATTTTTTCTGAACTCTGCAACCCAAAAGGTACACGTGTACCAAGTTTCAGATTTCTAACCTATCTGGAACATGGTTAGAATTAGCGTCAGTCAGTCAGTCAGTCAGTCACGATCGGCTATATATATTAGATAGTGAAAAGGGAATACCAATGGTGCCTGTTCCACCCAAACCAATCTAAGCAATGGGGGAATGCACCCCACTACTATTAAACAATCCTTAAATAAGAAGCCTCCCGTTTTGCCGAGCAACCCTTTGCATTGCTTGCATCAGGGGGAGTAGATCTCCATGGTTACAATGGTGTTAGTCCCACCCAGACCGATCTAGGCATGGGGGAAGGAACCCCGCTCCCGAACCGAAACCTGACAGAGATTGTCCAAGCTATGGGAGGTTAGCCTGCAGAGAAGGGGCGAGGTTGAAGGAAGCTAAAAGAGGACGGACAGTGAAGAAAAATATCCCAGAAATTGTCATGCAGCCTGCGTCTTCAGGCCTCCTCCAACCGTATAAAGAAGGTGATTCATGCAATGGTCTGGATTCTTCCCCTTTCCTACGTAATAATCGCAGTCAGTCCGAGATAGCTCGGTACTGAGTGGGTTGAGAGCCAGACAGAAGAGGAGAGGAGACAGCGTGTCTCCCTAGAAGATCCCGCGTTTGATGGAAATCTTGCGGGTTTTCAGGGTGGAGTCCTGTCCCTTGAGCGACATTACCGTCTTCCAGCTAGGCATGGTCTGTTGGAGGAAGTTGACCGCCGCAGGGTTGATATTGTTTCTGAGGCACTCGATGATCCATGAGTGAGGCACTGAGTCGTATGCCTTCTAGTCGTCGATCCATGCCATCGAGAGGTTCTTCTTCCTGATTCTGGCATCTTCCATGACCATATGGTTGAGTAGTAGCTGTTCCTTGCAGGCGTACGATCCTTTCCGGCAACCCTTTTGCTCCTCTGACATGATGTTGTTGTTCGAGATATGTCGTTCGATTCGTGCTGCTAGGATATAAGAGAGCACTTTGTAGACCGTTGGCAGGCAGGTGATGGGCCTGTAATTCCGAGGTAGCTCGGTTTTGATGTTTTTCAGGACTAGGTAAGTGACTCCTGCGGTGAGCCAATCTGGCATCTCCGAGGGGTCCGTCACTACTTTCTGCATTTCTCTGGGGAGTCGCTCATGTAGTAATGGTAACTGCTTCAACCAGAAGTTCGGAAGACAGTCGTGTCCGGGGCTCTTCCAGTTCGCTGTTTGTTTGAGCGCCTTCTTCAGATCAGATGTTATAATCTGGGGGTCGCTCATTTCGGGAATTCCTGTTAACTCCCTCTGATGTCGGAGCCGTGTGGCATCGGAGCTGTGGCTTAACAGGCACTCCATGATGTTCGACCAGAGTTCTCCCACTTCCGCCTTACAAGGAATAATCTTCACCTCTATGGGTTTCGCTCCTAGTTCCTAGTAGAATAGCTTCTGGTTTTTCGTGGAGGGCTCGTGATGCCGGAAGGAATTGACCCTTTTCGTGTACCGCCTTATCCTGAGAGCTTGGATCTTCATCATTACGTTCTCTATGGCGGTCGGAGATCGGAATTGGAGGTAGAGTGGAGGACGCTCCTGGCGCAACTGATCGTGCTTAGTAGTAGGCCCGCATGACGTCAGTGTGTATGGATTTTATCCATTACATACGTTACCTTGCGGGGGCATGTTTCCTGTAGCAGAAGAGGATCGAGTGTCGACCCCGGCCCCTGGGACAGGTATGGCTGTTCCACCAGTAGCTGTTACCCCCACTTCTGCCTAGTGATAGGTATTGCAAAAGATGTACACACAGATATCTGCTGCAAGTACCTCCTGTACGCAGGTATATTTGCTGCAATAGCTCGAGAGTCTCAGTGAACGATTTTCAGAGCGTCATATTTGCCCTTTGCTCCAGCGGTGACATTCCAGTAAAATCCGCCGAAAGTTACTGACCATGGCAATTTCTTTTTATCACCAACAGAGTTCCTTAAAATGAAGACCCGTGACATTTTACCCTGATTCGTAGTGAATTCCTGCAGAATGGCCAACAATTTCGACGAGTGTTATTTGAGCTATAGGGAAAGTCCCGCTCCTTTTTGAGCAGCCCAGTATATGTAGTAATTCTTTTTAGACGAAGAAGGTCGTGGTACTCATCTCAGATGAAGAGATCAGGAAGGTCTTCATTGAAATTCTCAACCGCATGGAGGTGGCGACTGGAAAAACATTGAGCGAACTACTGCAGATACGCCATCCAATGGATTACCGTGGCTGTGAGAGTTTCCACGTGATGTGTGTGGGAGTGGAAGACTCATGGGTAGTGGAGGGAATATCCCGAGCCATCCGAACCCTCCTTGTTGCCGATGGGGGGACTTCTTCTACAGCACAAAGTCGTATGGGACTCTGGAAGGAGATGGTGCGGAAAGGCCTCCTGTTGCACCGGCCTTGGACATCCTCCCCTGCCCTTGAATCGCTTTCTCAGGATGACTGGAAAGAACTGAATCGAAAAAGCAGCTTCCTAAAGGTACAGTTTTCAAGGCTCATGCTTATTTTCAAATCTGTTGCATCCCTGACTTATTTCACAAACAGGAAGTTGAATCGCTTTCTCCTGCATCCTCTGCAGATCCCAATGAGTACTGGGGATGATGCGACGACGACAAGGCACAAAACGACTTCCTGTTCAGAGGGTAATTCATATCAACAATTTTCAGAATCTTATTGGAATCATTGGTTATAATGATATTGTTTATAATGAAGGGTAAGATATGTTTTCTTCAATCGGGTTTTAGCATGCATTCTCTAATAATTTGTATTATTATTCTCATTATTGAAACCTGAAAAACTTTGATATCGTCGCCTTTTAGGGTGATTGCGGTCACGATAATGTGCTATCATGTGATTTAACAATGGTGCTAGTTCAGTTGTCTAAACTTCATAGCGTCTATTTTTGTGAACAAAAATAGACGCCCTGAGAAAAGTGATCTAGTTCTATCAAAGGTGTGCAGTAGTGTCGCTGCTGAAATTTAAATAATGAATAATAGTGCGGACTGCTAGATCTCCTTGCAGCCGTCGAATTCAAGGATAGCATGTCAATTATGTCTATCTTCTCAACGTGTGTCACGGTAAAGCGATATCCTTCCCGAGAGTCTCCTTCATTGGGGTCTAAGCACAAGCGGGGCACATTTTTGCTTCATACATTGCTTTCAATTTTCACTTTGATTTACTTTTGATATTGTGTAGGCGAGAAAGAAGTTGCAGCGCCCCCTCGTAACGACCTTACTTTCTTTTGTAGTGTCTCTTTAATTCGGAACGACCACACTTATTTACCTTACAGAGACGCAGAGGATTTTTGCCATGGGGGAAAGTGCAGACGGGCGATATGGGATATGGGAACTCCGTTCGGATCCGACTCTCTGGGTTCATTTCTACTATAGCTCCACCGAAGTGTTCCTTGCCAACTCTGGCAGATTAATTCACGCAGGAGATGGGGAAGTGAAGATTCTCCGCTTGGAAGAAAAGGATCCCAGTGAAGCTCCTTACAGATGGGATGAGGTCCTCCGCCGCGATGAATCCTCTCCTTTCTTCGTCGAACGAACAACGGGGATCGTGATTCAGGACAATCTCTTCATGGCTGGAGGGGAGGGAAATCCCAGGGAGGGACGCTTAGTAAACCTCGTCAAGGAGGAGTGGACGGTTCTTCCTCCAATGACAGAAGGGAGATGTGATGCATCTTCGGTAATGAGGGACCCACACACAGTCCTCGTCTTGGGAGGTTACGACCCAGAAGAAAATAGGTTCCTTTCCAGCTGCGAGTGTTACGACGTACGAATGCGCCAGTGGTTCTCCTTCTCCCACCACATTCCACAACCTCTCAAGCAGCATGCCGTCACCGTATACAATGATGATATATACATTTCGGGCGGATTAAGAGGGGAGAAATCCAGGAGGGAGGTGTATAAGTGGAAGGTGAAAGGGGGAGAGTCCTGGTACCAACTCCCCTCTTTAAACAAACTCAGACATGATCATGGGATGGTGGGAAACGGAGCGGGGGGCCTCTCTGTCATCGGCGGGATGAATGAGTCACAGTCAACGAAAAAAGTTATCGAGAGGGAGTCTTTCAATATGAAGGAATGGGTTATCCAGGAAGAACTTCCCTTCCAGGGTCTCTGGAAGGCGACGGAGATGAAGTGAGTCGGTGAATGGCGATCTCCGAACTCATGCTTCTCTATCTTTCTACATCTATCTACTCATTCAAGGAGAACTTTAAACTGAAATCTATCTAATCCAAATGGACTCATTGTTCTCCCTTCCATGTTCGATTGATGGCGATGTTGCGTCGACATGGCGGCCTTCAGTCGGAAGCAGTAGTCAAAATGCACCGAGTGAAGGTAGCCATTTTGCTCTCGCTCTCCCATCCGTTCTCTACGCGCCTTTTCTAATTTTCCACTTGACGAGGAAGTGTGAAATCCTGTGCTTTCTTGGGTAAATACAGCGCTGACTTCTCAGCAAGCAAGAACTTCGTTAAAAACTTTTTCGGGAAATGTTATCATGCACAATGCCTCCAAGAAATGGTGCCGCCCTTGGAACTTGGCGATAGTGAGGGTCATGATTCATTTACGAGTCCATTTTTCTTCAAAAAATTAAGAAAACGAAGTCTCGAGCTGTTTCACTTCGACGTCTCTCTGAGGCAACGAATTTTTGTCCCCACCTTTTGTACGCAGTCTTTCTCAACAGTAAAATTACATCACGTACGAAACATTAAAAAATATTACAATAGAAAGTATAGTTTCTATTTTCTTGACAGAGTTCATCGAGTTAAATGATGGAATAACCAACAGGAACCAGAGGTACCGACTGGAACATAGGTCAATTTATTTCTTCGACGATTCTATCTTTTATTTAGGACAGGTGCATCTTTCTGGACTACTAACACATTGAAGGAAAGAATGCCTGAAAACGATATGAGCACAATTCGAAACGGTTTTAATCACGATTTTATCCCCTCCATGACATTCAAATGCAAGATTATGCCTCCCGTACCTGAACACGAAGCCTAGAATGAAAGGCGAAGTGCATTTTTTGTGGACTTTTATTTTTACTTTTTGATTCATTGCTGAACCCCGCTGTTCTTGAGTAGTTCTAGGTTTTGTAAAATAGTTACAAACATTTAACTGCTGTACTCCCTTGTGACCCTTTTGCAATGTCGCAGATTATAACGAAGACACAGGTTCCATTGGCCTCATCCGAAAACGTAATCAGCATATGCAAGATAGACATATTCAGGGACTTACGCCCATTGAGCTCGACATCGAGTCTCAGGTGAGGTCTAAACCCAGAAATAAGGTGACTCAATTCTCTTATGGTAATTGTCTGGGAGGCCAGAAATTTCGCTCTGCAGTGTGGAGGTTGAAAATGTTAGTGAAAATTTAAATTTTCGGACGAATTTCGGATGAATTACTCTTTTCATATATGCAGCTCTGTCAACAAAAGCCATTGCAGCGTCAATTGATGTAGCACCCTAATTGATCCTTTGAGTTCTTTGATATTTGACTCCGAGAATCTCTCCCAAGATTGGGCAATTTCCAATAGCTATGCTGTGTTTTGGTGCCTTGCAGTGTAGGCTGTCTGCCTTCGTCACATATTGAAATAAAAATGTGTACCGAATGCTATCGACGTACGTCAATAATTATACCCTCGTCCGATTTATAAACGAAACCACCCTTACAAAAAAGGTTCATGGGAAACCCATAGACTTTTCCAATAGGTTTTTCAAACACGAAAAACCTGTAGGATCCCTTTGGGGTCCTTTAGGATTCCTGACCTAAAGGATTCGGTGAGGTTTTTTGTGTTTTGAAACCCGGGTATTAAAACTAAATGGGATAACTACTTGGTTCAATATCAGCACTGCTGTTTGCACCAAATTCATTACTAAGTAGGAGTTTTCCCAAGGAGGGGGCATTTATATATCCAGTACTTGCACTACCGTACTGGTAAAACACTCTAGACGTGCGCTTTTTTCTCTCATGGATGGCAGTTCGGCAAAAAACCTTCGTGATGAGATAATAATCATTCCCCACACCGTTCACAAACGCCAAGCAGAAGCTGCGTACATCATCTCCAGAGAAACACAGTTTCATAACTGCAGCAAAGAAATTAAATCAGATACACGATCCATATTAGACAGTTATAAGGTATTGAAATGCTTGCCAGCTGATTTTCAACACTCTTGCCTAAGTCGTGCAATGTCCATTTAGAGGTGAATGAAAGGTGGTTAAAAATGAATCATCCTACCTCAAGTGAGGTGATTACCTGTGCTCGATCGTTTCAGATTTCAAGGAACATTAATTCAACGTTAGGTTTTCAAGGCACAGCCAGATCCAGATGATACTTGACAGAGAGGTTCATCAGTCTAAGAATTTTTTTCTCACTTCCGCAAGATGGCACCGATCCCGACAGAGGGCTCTTTTGCTGACTGGATGATCGAGGGTGATTTACAACAAATTCCACCGTTTGCAAAGGGGAGAAAGTACAATTCGTGTATTCAAGTAAGAATATATAAGATTCTATTTGTGCTCTTGATATTGGACGTATATTGATATTGATTTTGGGTGTATTGATATTGTATGTATATTGATATTGGGTGTTGAGAAGAATGTCGTATTTTTTCATCAGTTCTCTGAGCCTTGTATTGTACCGTTACGCAGTTTGCAGGTGGATCATTATGTCGTGTGGAGGGCCTCAAAAGTGGACTTTTAACGTTAACTTTAAGCCGAAAACAAGAGAACGATAATTTAGCACGAGCGGTGAGTCGGAGGCAAAAGAAAGGGTCGTGGCCTCACTCCAGACAGGACAAGCCGTCTAAGGAGACGACTGATGACAAATAATAAGACGGTGTTGAAACAACAAGGACAACAAGTATTTAATTACAGTTAAATTAAGAAAGTAAAGAATAAATATCACAGATGTTAACTGGAGCCTTGAGGAGGTCTTGAGAGACTTTAGCAGCCCTTTAGCAGGCAGGGACATCGCAGGCACAGCGATTTATCGGCAGACAAGCAAAAAGGCTGTAGGCACGGCTGGCTAGAGGGACTGCCCAGGACGAACTCCCCCGACGGACGACACAGGACCACCCACGAGACGGAAAGACGAAAGACGGCGTGACCGGAAGGGGGAGCTCACACCCCCAGAAAAACAATGGAGGGCTATGCGGGCCCAACCCTGACATAGGCAGAACGCATGCAGGGCCGCGAACAAAATAATGTCCCGCGGGAGCCACAAAGCTCTAATAAGGTTGTATTCGAATTTTAATAATTTTACTCATACGACACTTACACCTTTTTTTAAATCACCCTTGGTCACCCGGTCAACTACAGCGCCCTCTATGATGCCTGGTGGTTAGCTCCGCTTCCTTTTCCCTGATTCGTAATGATGACTACTCTGATTACTGCCTTCAGCGTAGGTATGGTGGGCAAATGTCCGGTATCTTAGCGGTCTTCTATTTAAAAAAAGAGAGAAAGTCCAGGTCCCGTCGCGCATTTCCCTGGAATTCATCACCAAGATCTTCGTGAATCTTTTTCCTTCAGTAGAAGACTGAATAAAAGTAATCCTCTAGCGCGAATTGAGGAAACATGTTTGTTTTCAATTGGTCTTCCTTTGTATTTCCTTTCGTTCTTTTGAGTCATGACGACATTGCCCAGTCTTAGTGCAGAACTGATTTTGCAGGAGGTGCTGTAATGAAAAAGGAACATCGATGTCATGGAAATGTTGGAAAGTAGATTTGCGTCGTTATTTTCCAAGTCAATTCCTTGTTTGATCGCTTGTGCAATCAAGATAAGTTTCATCGCTCTGAATAAATTTGGCTTCATTAATATAAGATTGCAAGTTCAGGGAATCAAGCATCAGATAGTTAAACTCCTTACTCACTTGCCTCCAACATATCTTCACATTTAATTTTTATCACCCATTCAGTATCTGACTACTTTTTCGATATTTCAGATCACGAAGAAATAGGGGAGACGATATACAGAGGCAAGAGTAATAGTAATAATAATAAGAAAGAACGAGGAGGCGAGAGGCATGGAAACGTTTTCTACATGAAATAATAGCAAAACATGGAGCTAAAAAAGCATTAAACAGAACAAAAATGCCAATGCACAAAATAAAAACAAACTGAGAGAACAGTGACATAACGATAAAGTATTCAGTCGTTGCACACCCCACTGAATTGTTTTCAAACCAGAAAGAAGCTCGACACAGCAGGAATTTTTCGATAGAAACGCATTCACGACTGCAGAAAGTGACACTTCATCTTCTGGTTGCCCTCGATTCCATTAGATACCATTCAAGTCATAAATAGATAAGCTCATTTCGTCAACCCAATTCGACAAAATTCTGACTCCATAAAATTGGTTATTGGGAAAACTGGATAACTTTTATCCACTCAAAAAACCTCCAAAATGCAGTGGTCAATAATATGCCCTATTATTGGCACATTGCTTCCGTACTGATGGTTTAGCAGCTGCAAAACAATCGATGAGCGCTTTCCTCGTGCTGAAGTTCCTAATTATTCCATGAGTAAATACCTTATGGACTATATCTGCATTACTAGATGTGTATCAGATTGAGGCATTAAGGCCGAAAAACATCGACACTCATATAGGAGAAGGTTGCAGGGAATTCAAGTAGCCCTCCTCGAGATACTATATTTACTATAAATCGACTATTGCCTGTCATCACAGAGATGTCTCCTACAGAACATCGCGCTATAGGTCGAACGCAACACAATGAATTTCTATCGATACAGAACCACTATTGTTCCATTAAATCCAATGGATCAGGCAGCAAGTTCCATCTTCTGTGAGCAATTATGATGGGTGACTTAACATGATCCAACTTCCTGAAGGCATGCTTCTGGACTGATGATGCTTAGTACCATCTCACTGGGTTTATTAACTCCTAGAATAGCCGGCATTGGAGTTCTGAGAATCCACACGTGTATCACTAAACAGCTACACCCTCAAGAACTTGGTGTCCGGGTAGCTGTGAATTATTGACGGATTTTAATCAAAGTGTTTCATGAGACGGCAACAGCGACAGCAACAATGAAGTGATTCAGCAGCATGGCGCACTGTCCACAAACCTAATTCAATCATGGTTAATTAAATGAATTTTTTTCCTGCCCGCTTCATCAGGAAGAATCTGTAGCCAGCCAGGTCACCAGACCTCACACATCCAGACTTTCTCCTAAGTGATACCTTAAAGACAACAATCGGTTGGTACCGATTACATCATTAGCAGCAACTTCAATTAAACATTTGGTCTGAAGTTGCCGAAGTTCCACCAGATATATTGGAGTTCGTTCCTCGTTTACTTATAAATCGTGGAAACATATGCAAGAATATGGAAAGGAGGACATTTTCAACTCTTTAAGTTTTAACACTTTTTTTTTCAAAATTTGGTTTAAATCATAGTCTGGATCCAATGGAAACACAACTTGGGTTACTTTCAATTATACCGTATGATCCATCTCAGTTTGATGATTAATCTTACACGAGTTTAAATACTAGCGACTGCATGTGTCGAAGTCTCTATGGTCACAGCCCCACTTTTCCCCTTGAATACCCGAGATTCTTCAACATTAGATCCATTCAGTATGACATGAGATTTCAATGAATGTCCCGAAAGACCTGTGTGGAGTTTCAAGTTTGCCTTTTTTCTGGTGATCATGAAGAGGGATGGGAAAGGAGAGAAAGGAATGAGATCTCTTAGCAGAATCCTAAGTCATTTCCGTCGCCTTCCATACACTGAAGAAGGGAAGCTTTGCTTGCATTACCCATCTTCCTATATCCAGAGTCAATGTTTCCGTCTCAAGGACTTCGACAGTCTCTTCTGGTTCACTGATATATCTTCCGCCAATGATAGAGAGTCCCTTTGCTACGTCTCCCATCATCCCATGATCATGTCTTTTTATGTTAAGGGATGGAAGCTCCTCCCAGTTTTCATCGCCATTAATCCCACATCTCCACACCTCCTCGCGGGCTTCCCTCCCATCCCATCCGCCCGAAATGTACACGTGGCTATTATACGTAGTCACTGCATGACCCGAGACAGGAAGGGGCATGTCGTGGGGAAAGGGAAACCACTGCCTCATTCTTGTGTCCAAACACTCCCAACTAGAGAGTGGTCTCCTTGTTTCTGGGTCCTCACCCCCTAAGACGAGGATGGTGTATGGGTCCCTCATCATGGAAGTTGCCCTACTTCTCCTTAGTCTCATCTCGGGGAGATTAAGCCATGTCTCTGAACTGAGATCAAGTCGGCGTCCTTCTTGAGGAATATCCTGTCCTCCCAGAAGGAAGAGAGTGTCGTGGATGACTACCCCCGCAGTCCCGTTCACGCGGAATGGATGGGGAATGTGGAACGCCTCGTCCCATTCGTAAGGGCCCTGACGAGGATCCTTCTCTCCCAGATGGAGAATCTTCACTTCCTTCCCTCTGCATTGGATGAGTCTGTGAGAGTGGACAAGGACCACGTCATCTGTGCCGCAGGGTCCTTGAACCCAGAGAGTCGAGGAATGATCTAGAACTTCCCAAATTCCCCCTCGCCCATCTTCGCCTATCCCCATGGCGAAAATCCGTCGTGCATCTGCAATGGATACAGAATTCGAGTGAAGGGTGGATTTCAGTCGTACTGGCGAAAACAAATGGGCTTAATGGGGATGTGGATTGCAAACGATGGACTTCGTGTCGGTGGAATAATTGAGAAACAGACCTAAGAATATACGCCGCATCTCCCCTCAATGCGGAAAATATTCATTCAAATATAAATATTTCCTTGTCAATTTATTCCCTTGAAAGCAGAAATAAAGAATTGGGGACATTTCTTTCGATGTGATCTGAGACACAAGAGAAAACATGAGCAGATAGAGTACCGTGACAAAAGCATTCATACTTGCCACATTTGTATATTCCTTAGAGGGAACTGGATTAGAAACTGAAGCGTTTATTTCTACCAACGCCTCTTCCTAAAAATATTATTGGAATGTCATTTACGCCTAATTATGGGCATCGCACGCACGTTACAACACTCGTGAATCACAGGCATAACTTTCTTACACCGATAAGGAATAAAACAGGATTTGGCATGGACGTGCCAGCCAAGCCCTAAGGTGTTTGTATTCAGCACTTGAATAAATTCGATGTCAAATTCAGATATTATCAAAGCAGGAGGGGAGTCCTCATCATGCAACATGTGCATAGGAGCGTCTCCTAAGTATGTCTTTCTTTGGTATCCCATTGGAAATAAGCCCCAAACTTGGTGTCCTGAATTAAAATAGTATAAATCTATAAGAAAATGCTTTGAGAGCTGAATTAATTCCATTTTGCTGAAGGTTTATTCAGATAGTGGTATACATTGTTAGTGTCCACCCCATCTGGTGAGGGGATGGCTAACCCATTGCCCCAGAATATTATATCGTTTCCCAGACCTGAAGTTTCACAGCAATGAAATGAACGGCAAATATAAATAAGTCACTAGACAGGTGGATCCTGGAGACCCATTAACGACCACGCTAATTTCGTGGCCTGGGAATAGAGCCAATGATGGGTTCCCAGGTCGTTCTATGGACTCAGTGGTATGTTTTCATCACCAACCTCATTAGTATCAGGATGAGAAAAGGAAATAAACATACTGAAGAGTCATAGGATTAAAGTCACCATACGAACGGGATAGGTTTGAACATGCTTTCGTATCCCTGGGACTTAACCGTTTGGAACCAAGAAAACAACGCGAAAAATAAAGATGACTGAATCTTTCCTGAATATACTACTTGCCTGGTATGCATGCCTAATACCCTGGTGAGATTTTACGAATGGGAGTAAAAATGATCTTTTCATTTTGAAAGAATTGCCCTATTGCTTCCACAAGGCTACAGACATTTGACTGATATGAATAACCTTCTAAACATGGTGGCTTCCTCCTTCCAATTTCTCCCTCTCCAATGCCCGAATGGATCTGCAGATAAAAATACCCAATAGGATCCTCAGTTTTTTTAGGTATGAAATCTGAAAGGAATCTTATAGGAACCAATAGGATTTTTTCGTACAGGAGAGGATGAGGTACTTCAACATCATGATTCCACAGGACTCAATGATGAAGTAGGCATGAGAGGGAAACTTTAAAAGAGTATAAATAATAAAAACTGCACCTTTAGGAAGTGGTATTTTTGGTCTAACATCCTCCAGTCGTTCTTTGAGAGGTAATCAAGAGCGGGACAGGATGACTGGGTAAGGTGGAGAAGGAGACCTTTCCGTTTCATCTCCTTCCAGAGTCCCATCCGGCTTTGCGCTGCAGCGGAAGTCCCCCCGTCGACGATGAAAAGTGTTCGGATAGCTCGGGAGATGCCCTCTACCACCCAAGAGTCCTCAATCCCGACGCACATCACCTGAGAACTCTCACATCCTCTGTAGTCTCTAGGATGGTAGATCTGCAACACTTCGCTCCCGGCTGCCCCTCTTTTCTCTTCCACCAATCCGAGAACTTCAGTAAAGATACCCAGGATCTCTTCATCCGAGATAAGAACTATTACGTTCTCCTTCAAAGAAAAACGAAAATATATTTCAACGGGATACAAAGTATTGATATCTGATAAATATGTATTCTATTTTTTATCTTCGCGATATTTGTTATACGTAGGTGTGGAATGGAAAAGTTCAAAGAATGTCGTTTCATTCAAATGCTTTGAGTTGAAATATACCTCGTAGAAGACTCCTGCTGAAAATAAGGAGTGCACATTTCGAAGTATAGCTATTACTAGTGTGTTTCCAGTCGGAAAACATATTTAGGGAAAGTAGTTTCGCAGTGTTTCAAGGTCGAGGGAAACTTGGCTTGCAAATTTGTTGAAAACTAATACTTGGATTACTATGGGCATAATTTTAGATCCACTTGGATTACTCCCGTTGAGAAACAAGAAAATCTGATTAGTTGCCACTTTTGCTGTTGTAGTGCTTCTTTCTCTGTTGGACTGGCTTTCATTGTCCATATGTGTGTATCATTTAACCTTTTCCCTGGCAAAGTCCCATTTATGGGACTAATGAGTTCCAGCCGTTCCATGCACAAGCTTTTGTTCTAAAGTCAACTGCCATTTACTGGATGAAGCGAGAACTACGAGAACTTGGTGACACATCAATGAGGCACTGCTCGTGTAATACAAATCGATAGGTTCACCGTATTTCGTTTGTTTCGTTCACTCGAAAAGAATAAAGAACTACAAAGCAAAAAAAGTATGTATTCAATACGAGGGGTAAATAAAAAATTCATTCATTTTTATAGAAGGAAGTGTACTACATATGTTTCCTATTTTTTCCCTGAAAGGGGGTTTACTCAAGTTCTCTCAACGTAATTTCCGCTGATATCAATGCATTTTCGAAGGCGCCGCAGCCAATCTTGAAAACACTGCTTGAAATCAATTTCGTCAGCAGGTCAAGCTGACTGTTGACTGCTTCAATCAATTCCTCGCGGGTCCGAAACACCTTTCCACGCAACGGTTCCTTGACTTTTGAAAACAACCAAAAGTCGCACGGCGCCAGATCTGGGGAATAAGGCGGAGGCTCGATCAGGTTGATGCCAGAGGCGCCGATGAAGAGAATCGTTTTGCTGGCAGTGTGGGCTGGGGCGTAGTCGTGGTGCAAGAATTGGCGCCTGAGTTCCGACTTGGGGCGACCTCTGAGCAAATTTTCGAAAACTACCGGCAGGCAGTTTTCTGTGTACCTTTGAGAGGTCACAGTCTTGCGTTCCTCAAGTGGGACAGATACGACGATGCCTTGTTGGGAGAAGAAAATCGCGAACATGGTTTTCCCAGCCGATTTCACTCGTTTGGCCTTGAGCGGGGGCGCCTCTCCTTTTTTCGACCAAACTTTAGATTGCTCCTTTGTTTCCAGATCCGAGAAGTGGAACCATGCTTCGTCGCCAGTTACAATGTTCCAGAAGTTGGCAGAACTCCCATCCTTGAAGTCTGCTAGGAACTGGCGGCAGAAGTTGACGTGGGCGTCCTTTTCCTCTTCTTTTAGAAGTCAGGGCACCCACATGGCGGATTTCTTGCTATACCCGAGGTGGTCGCGCAAAATTCTTCCGACCGACGTGGCATCAATTCCAAGCAGTTCTTCAAGCTTTTCCAGCGTCGTTCGAGGGTCTTCGTCGATTGCCTCCTTCACACGCCCCTTACAAAATGTCTTATAGGATTCCCATATATTCCTAAAGGAATATATAGGAATCCTATAGGATCCTGTATGCCCCATAGAGTTCCCTATAGAACCTATAGAGTCCCCTATTGAACCTATAGAGTTCCCTATAAAAACCTATAGATACCCCTATAGAACTTAAAGGGTTCCCCATAAGGACTATAGGTTCACTATAGAACCCAAAGGGTTCTGTATAGGACCCCTAGGGTTCCCTATACTGTAGGACCTGTTGGGTTCGCTATAGGACCTATAGGGTTCCCTATAGGGCTTATACGGACCCCTATAGGCCTATAGGGTTCCGTTTGAAGTTCTCCTCTAGGCCACTAGATGGAAGTATTTGGGTCCGTCTTCTATTTTCTTAGGTCGAGAGAAGAATACCACTTCTTCCTACCGAAGGATGTAGGTGTATAAACCAGCGACGCATGTGGGGCGGGGTCATAAATTATGGAGACCCCTGCAGTACTGGTATTAATAATGTATGTGTCCCTACCATGGAAAAACCCCTAATCGGTTTTTTTTATTTACACCGAAATGCTGCGCCAATATTAACCCCGGTCGCCTTTTCGTTAAAATGCCTCGGTTTCGAAACCCAAAATATCCTCCTCGAATCCTATAGGTCAGGAGACCTATCTATATAAGACCCTATAGGGATCCTATAGGATCCTTTAGGATCCTATAGGTTTTTCGTGTTTCAAAAACCTATAGGACAGTCTATAGGTTTCCTATAAGTAATAACTATAGGTTTCCTATAGGACATTTCCGTAAGGGGCGCCACATTTTGATCGTCCGTTGACGATCTGGGGCGGCCCTCATGAGGGTCGTCCTCCAGGACGAAATGTCCCGTTTTGAATCGGGCAAATCACTTCTGCACCCAGCGCAGAGTCGGAGCTTCATCACCAAGTACCGTTTGTAGCTCTTTCGCACAATCTTTTGCACTCAAACCGCGCCGGAAACTGAAGGAAATGATGGCACGCAGTTGCTCTTTACTATAAGCCGGAAATTGACTCGGACCAGCCTCACTTGGTTTTCGTTTTCTCGTCTCCATCGCTTCTTGTTGGGTTGAAAATTTTTTTGGAAGTTCGCCAATACCACAGGAAACACATACAAAAAATTCAACCGTCCCCCACAATGGCAAGCATTGAAATGAATGAATTTCTGAATGGCCCCTCGTATTCCCAAAAATGAATGTTTTCAATACTATCTTTTCCTTCAAATTTTGTGTGGGGGGGGGAAATTATTTTATATCTCCTTTCCAACATACGTGAAATTCATATTGAAGCATTAATTCATTTGTTCGCAATGAAATAAAAAGTAATCCTATGCGCTTGCATGTAAAAGAAAAACATAAACAGTTTGCCAGGCTAGAACTGGATCTGAGTGACCAACCTGCCAGGGAAAGGGCTACACTGAGGAGTTATTCCATTTCTTGTAATATATGGGAGGAATTACTTTTGACGTGTCTTCTAACGTTTAGCGGCGGAACTGCATTATTATTTTCCATTAGGATGTGAAGTATAGTTTAATAGAAGTATTGATAATTTACTATCTGCCCTCTGATGTCTTATTTACCTCTCTTCTTATTTCAAAATCATGATCGAATGGCACATAAATGGCAAAGAAGCTGGAATGAAGGTGAGTGCGGGGGAAAAGACGGTGCGCGCAGGCAGAGCAGGAAAAATTCAAAAGATAAGCGACACCGAAGTTTATAGAGGAGGTGAGAGTTACTTTTGCATCGCTTCTACTCCTTCTTCACTTCATTACTTATGCAGATGTTCGTTTCTTAAAAAAGTTATAAATTACTCTGTATCTGATCCACTCACGTGAAATGGTGTCAAAACAAGCGTTTCCCTGGTACAATGGAAATCCTGAGTCATGAACATGGCATTGGAAATTACCCACATCTTGCGCAAACGTGTGCAACATCTCGATCAATGGGTGCGGTTGCGCCCATTACCTTTCCTCAACCCCTTCCAGCGACAAATTGCAACCGTCTCGTATTCCTCTCTGAAGAGCATCATAGAAACGAAATTTGGCATACTTCTGGGATGAACTGAGATTGAAGCCGTGGTTTGCAGTGGCTGATGAATTTGGTGGAATATATCTCATGCGGACATCCTTAAATTAACATGATGACGGCCAGCTCGGTTCGCATGCTCTCTAATGGCACTTTCTTCTCAGAACGAGTCGAGACGAATCGAGGACCTCTGGATAGGCCTAACGTTCCCTGGCCGCACCGAAATGGCTCATGAAATTCGAAAAAGACCTACATTCGCTTTAATGTTACACGTTTTCTGTTAAATGGACCATGAGAGACGGAATAGGCCTGCGATTTGGCCAAACGTTACACCTCCTCAACGAGGTGTCTCGATGACCAAGGACTAATCCTTATAGGCCTAATTGGTCTGTAGGCCGAGGATTGAGTTTCTTTTGAACGGAAAAAAGGAGGCCTTGGCTTGACCCAAAGACAGTCCGTCGATTAGGCTTAGGACTAACGTTACTGAGTTCCGTTGAGAAAGAGGGAGGAGGGTGGTGAGGGTGAGGGTGAGGGTGAGGGTGAGGGTGAGGTTGGGTTGCGTTTTAAGAAAGGTAAAGCCATTTAAAATTGGTTTTCACATTAATACATTCATTATTATTTTAGATTCCTAAGGATCTCCAATACTGATTCATTACAATTTACGTACAGTACGGTCCAGCAAATTGCAAATTATATATGGTCAATTTCATAAGAAACTATATCGATGATGCAGCAAGCTTAATTCGGTTGCATCAGCTATTTTCTGCGGTGTCGAGATTAACAGAGAGCTTACCCAGTAACCAAGCTTTAAGTAGTTATTGGTACTATATGCAAGTACAGACCACCTTGGAAACTGCCAGCTTTTGTTGATGCAGAAATAAGGTTTGTAAGGTGAACTTACGATGTTATGGGAGAGAAGGTGTGCAGCAGCAGTGACGGCAACGCATCCTCTACCCCGGCCACCAATGCACTTGAATCCCCCATGGTAATGCGTCTGGATAGGAGGAGTGATGAGCGTGGGTTTCACCCCGAATACAAGAGAGGAGGGCTCGGGCCTCGTGTTTAGAGTCCCTGGCTTCACCCTCAGTTCCCTGGGGGATTCATGGGAAAGGATGTATCGAAGAAGATGGGAGAATCCCACATCTAGGAATCCCTTCTTGATGATCCTGACACCTAAAGCATGGAACAAAGGAATGCCTGGACATCTCACACTAAGGCTAAATCTTTTGCGTGAGACTTGACGGGTTCCGTCTATGGTTCCGAATCATGGTAGATTCCTAGCCATTCTTGCAGGAAATTGATACGGACAGCACATCAATTTCTTATTCATATTTTCCATGTGCTTCAAAATAGAAGGGTCGACATAACTTGAGCAACGTCTGTGAGAATTTCCGTTTACTCCAAATTTGTGTAACTCATAATTTTACTAAATTATAATCGCGACAATTATATGCGCGTTAACGCCGTATGACAGTATTTTATGATTACGAACTTAAAATACTAATATAGATGCACTTACTAAGAAAAGAACATGCTGATTATTAAAGAAAACATTGTGATGTCGGACGGTTTGTCGCTCACGAGAGGGAAGAAAGTTGGCAGGAGGTTACTCACCTATTTCGGAAGAAAGTTTGAATTTCTTCAAGTCGAAGGTGGTCATGCCGTAGTCGATGTACGGTTGGAAGGCGATGGTCAGAGAAGCAAGGGTATCTTCAAATTTAGAGGAAAGGACTCTCAAAACGGATTCCCATTCCTCCTGCAATCCTTCAGTGTCTCGAAGTCCAGGACAAATGAGATGAATGGGTGCATCGTCCAAGGCGATGTGAAGTCTTCGTCCTTCCTCTTTCCCTTCCCTCAGCATCTTCACCAGGAGTTCTTGCATGACTTGGGGGGAAAGAGACTGATGATTCCAGAGTTCGTATTGCCATAAGAGTTCGTGGATGTCGAAGACCTGAGCCACGTTCCCCAGTCCTGCCCTCTTTATCCTCTCTTTGGCGTCCACCAAGCAGAGGCCTCTTGGATACGCAGTTATATTCCATCTGCTACAGTCAACGAACATTACCCGTGCAGGGGATATTGTTTCGTTCTGGGCTTTCCGCATTTCCTGAATTTCCTGCTTTGTTTTCCTTTTCAATCTCTTCATGAGAAATGCAGTCTTCCCAGACCGATTCGATCCGAAGAGAAGCTCTATCTTTCTTTCCTCGATTTTTACCGTTTTCTTAGAATCATTTTTCCCCTTTTTATTTGCAATCCCAATGGGCGAAACGCGACAGACGGGTTCCATGAAGGGGATCCATGAAATCTCAGCATAAGCATTTTCGTCCAGTGGATCAAGGTAAACACCGAAGGATGGCTGACTAGGTTTCTTAAGAGAGCGGATGAGTTCAAGATGTGTAGGTTCTTCCCAGTGACCAGTAGGCAGAGGCTCAGTGTAGATAACATGGAGGGATCGTCGAGCCATACTCACCATACTAGACCAAGAGCGATAAAAATTGTTTCCGTCATCCAACAGGATCAGATTCTCGAATGACATCCCGGTCACTTGGTCTTGATAAAATATGAGGAACTTCGAATTGGAATGTCCTCGCACGCAGCCTTCAGAGTCGAGGAAAGCGACTGCTTGTCCCAGTCGATCTTCAAGTTCTCGTACCAGCACATTCCTTTCTCCAATAGTCCTTGTAATAATCGTGAAGTGTCCGGGATTTGCCTCTGATGGCAATTGAATCTGAACGACAACTTCTGAAGCCCACTGCGCTGCATTGCTACACTCAGGAGGACTTCGGATTAAGAGAACTATTGCTTGGGATAAATCTTCCTTTTGATTAAGTCCATATTCAAGGCTTTGCATGGGAAGGAGGCGTAAGCAGGAGAACCTCCTTTGAATGAACAGTGTGACTGCTACCACAAACCTTCCAAGGTCAGTAGTGTTCCTTTTGACTTCCGTCAGCAACTCCACCTGTTCTCGCCCCAAGGAATCCATGACTCTCTGGATATCAAGGGTCTGTGGATAACCAATGTCGCTGGGACGCCAGGCGATCCACAAGCTACGAAATTTCTTTTTCTTGATAAAGTTCTTCCATATTTGTCCAATCTCCGCTGGATCGTCTGTCTTCATGCCGAAGTTGACCTGCATTTCATCACTCAAGATGCACCTTTGTTTTTGCCCATTGATCACCTGAAAGAGAGTTTTGAAATCTTCACAAACTCCATGTTTGTGACAGGTTAGAAACGCAGTACTATTCACAACTGTAATACGTGTGCTACATGCCACGGATTCTCGCCATTTCCTAATGTCATCAGTTAGTTCTCCATTTGACATGTTGACGATAATGACGGTGTCCCCTCTTTCTGCAAGCTGCTTGGCTCTTTGTTGGAGCAGGTAAGTTTTCCCTGTACCTTGTGCCCCCGCCAGGAAGAGAACGGGCCGATCTTCCAACAATATTTTCCCCTGGTGAGGAGTGAGAAGATCTAAAGCCGTTTCCATCCTTTCATCGATGTTCTTGTGGAGATCTTCCTCCGTCCTAGGCATTCCTTTCACTGATGCAGACGCTGCTACATATGTTCTCATTACATCTAAATAGCAGTCTTTGGCTGCTGGATCCAGTCTCTCTTGACCTGTAAGAAGGATTCCATGTTCTTCGAAGAATTTCTTCAACGCATCGTGTGAATCCAGATCATCCTTTGTGAGTATGTGTTCATGGCAACTGCATTCCAAGATCCTGGCAACGTCACTTCTCGATAGATATGGAAGAGCGACGAAACTACAGAGAAAAGTGTGCGAGGACGCTGTTGCTCCTACGAACTGCCGAAGAATGACTTCGCTTTTCCTCAGTTGATCTTCAGCATGCCCAAGGATATCATCCTTCAGTTTACTGTCGGCAATTTCCCTGGCCTTGACCTCGAAGAAAACGACGAGTACTCTGCACCCTTGGAAGGTGATCACGCATGCATCGTGATCCCCATCAGTGGTTTCGAAGCCCTCCTTCTTCCATTTTTGTCGTTTCTTATCTGCCCCCTTCACCTTCGTGATCCCCATGGCTGCGTAGAACGTCTCGTTGAAATCGTAATCATAGATCACGAGGCAAGGGAGGCCAGAGAAGATTTCTTTCACCCATTGGAAAACATTGACAACAGCAGAATCAGCTGGCTTTATACGAGGTACTCGCTTTCCACTGTCTGGTGTGAAGTCTCGAGTTTCCTCGAATAGTTTTTTTTGGTCCTGCACTTTCAAGACATAGCCTGCTGGAAATGCATACGAGTTTTCCGCATCTGGATAATGCTCCGTTTGGTATATTGCTGCTCCTTCTGTGAAAGAATACAATTTGTCCATGCGAACTTTCATATGTTTTCGAGGGTCAATTTCGTACTCTTGCAACTTCCTCACTTGAGCTATCTCCTTGGAATCCTTGCACTTGTGTGGGTGCTATTGTTAAGAGAGAAATATCATTTATTTTAAATGATTTTAAAGTATTTTCGCTTATGGGGGGATAGAATGCCATTTCTTAAATGCTATAACATAAAGCTCCCATCCACTTCCAGTACCCCACTTTCCCCTGTCTTTCATTCCCCGAACTCCATTGCCTACATTCGTTGTAAAGCAATCTTGAATTTGTGCTGTGGTGTAAAAAAAAGGCACAATGAGAATCCAGGGGAATTGATGACCTTGCGAATGATCAGAGAGAGAAAAAGTTTGCCTTTTCCTCCTTTCGTGAGGAACAAGGAACGAATTGAAGAGTATTTTAAACATTTTTTTCTGGAATTGGATGCAGAAAAGAAGAGAAGCTTTAGTGATGTTGGAAGCATTGCGATAAGAATAGAACGTGTTACACCCCCGATTTCATGGGAAAATCTAGGTGCAGTAGAGGAATTATCACGTTCATCTAAGTGGCGAAACAAATCAAAATTTTAATTAGGGTATTTTTTAAATATATTTTCCTTCCTACTCGATATGGACATATCGCTTTCTCTTTTAATTTAAAGAATGATACTTTAACTGCAATTGCTACTCACCATTGAGATCAATGGATACGAGTCAACTATTGCAGAGGAATCCTTTATCTCAGCACATCAAGAGAGGTGACAAAGGCAATTTACAGATATAAACCTCCACATGGTGATGAATATACTCATTCCTTTTCCAGTTTCAGTAGCAGAAGACAAAACGAATATATGTTAAGTGAATTGTGGAGTTAATTTTTTTCCAGCAAGACAAGAACTGGCTTTCCAAGGTCCACAAAGGGCAAACAAAATGTGAAATTTTCAACATAATGTATTGTAACGTGAACCGACGGATTTTGATTTAGAAATCAAAACAGTTTTTATTCATAAGCAACATACCACATATCCATATTTTATCGCACGTTGGCTATGTACGAGGTTAAATACGTGATAGGACAATTTCTTGCATTGTAATTCGAAGTTCAATTAGAGGTAGTAGTTTCTGACCCGAAGGTTAGTTCAAGTTTGTGTGTGACTAAATCTAATATTTTAATTCGAAGAGGTCAAAAGTTGCGGTGGTCGTGGCCGTGGCTGTCACCTCCAAGGCGCAGTTCTACGATGCAATCCCGTTCTGGATCATAGGCCAGGCCATCCACGGCCTAAAGCGCCAGGCCTACAAGGCTACGCCTTTCCAGGCCATCTTATACTTTAAATTCGAAGAGCCCGAGAGTTGTGGTGGTGGTGGTGGTTGTCACCCTAGCGCGCGAGGAGCTACAGGATTATATTATTTCAGGCCAAAGGCAAGGCCATCCACCTCTCCAAGCGCCAGGTCCTTCAGGCTATGTAATTCTAGGCCATAAGCTTGGCCATCCAACGCTTTTAGCGCCAGGTCCATCGAGCTATGTCAGTCTGAGCCATAGGCTTCATACTTAGCTGAGTCGATCAAAGGGTAGTAATAACTGAATGCATATCACGTTTAATTTTTTCCGTTAGGTCAGGCGTGGCGGTTCGGGACATCGCTTCCATGCAATAGTTTTCTATTTGCGTTTCATGTTATGGCCGATTTATTTGAGTTCTCACGATTGATGAAATCAAAATAATAACGTAAGTTCTTTGTTTCATACGTCGCGCAAACGGGCCGCTCTTCCCATAAAAATGGTGGCGATTTTTGCGATCTGAGGTTGAACATGAAAAAAAATGTTGAAAGAGGTCCCACAGGACGGCGATGAGGCAGTTGTTGCTGGTAAAAACGGTTGGTGCTGGCGCGGAAAAAACGCTTGCCATGGCAGTTGCGGTACGAAGTGCCTAAATCGGTGCTAGCCGTAATGGTTAGAATCGGTGATGAACAACAAGCACGTGTATTGAATACATAGGGAACTTTGGGCCGCTCAGACTGCTAAACAGCAATAGGCAGTGAATGCTGAGCTTTGGAATAGGAGAGCCGTGCAGCCTGCTAGACAACTTAATGCAAGGTTGGCATTTTCAGGAATTAATATTAAGCATTGTGCCGCACATGCACTAACTTCCCTCTGTGCAGTCGATTTCTTGGAAACGGTCTGTACTGTTCAGAATCATTGGCGTCTGTACCATACGCTAACGCTAATAGCCGATGAGCTAATCGGTGATGCAAGAGTGTTGAATGTGTTGGGTAGACGCCGCAATGTCGTCTTGAGTCTCATGAAAACGTGCTAAACCGAGGCGTTCACAATGGCGATTGTGACAGTCAGCTCGACTATCATGATGATGGCGTTTAGGACCAGAATATCCCTGTGTACTGTAAGCTATATGTATATAAATGTAATGAAGCGGTTCAGTTCCGAATGGGTAATACAATGGACGGAGGATTGTCTAGAAGAGGTTATGCTCAAAATATACGATTCAAATTCCCACACCCTAGACGGCCAGCGTTGCGGCCGCAGGCCGCTAGTTAGTTTATTCTATAATCTGACAGTTTGGGCTGGAAAAATAAACAAATTTCAGTTTTACGGTTCAGAAGTCTAACATTCGTTCGGATATGAATATTCGTTCGGTTGTTGCTCATGATGGGAAAAAGAAGGAAAGTACGAGATTATGCACGAACCTTGGGGATTCTTTCATCATTTGGTCGTCTTTTCTGACTTTTCATCTTCGTGTTTTCTATCCTGTTCAAACCGAATAGAGTAGGGATTTTAAGCTTGCTTGAATTGATGTGAACCGATAAAGAATAAGGCTGAGCTTGCGTCACACTTATATCCCACCTAAATAAATGTTTAGGTTGCATTCTTTTTTAACCCCTTAACGGGAAAGTTTTGCATCAAATGTTTGGGGACTTGCAGTTTAGAGATGACAGCGAAACAGTTATAATTTTGCGGTTGTACGAAAGGCACAAAATGGGCTATGGTGAAGTGATTTTATTTTGCTCCAGGCCGAACAATATATACGTTTCACCCGCACATCTCTTCAGCACACACCTCTTTGCATCAGAGACTTAATGACGTCCCCAAGAACTCGAACTAAATTCCAAATCACAGAAATATATCTGACAGTAGTGGGACACTCCTGAATGTACTCTACTTATTTCTCCACAAGTTCTGACAAGGAAAGTGAATATGGCAAAAATATATCAATAAGCAAGGGGGCCTCAAGTTACGACCGGTTGGAACGAAGCATTTTGCGCAATCTGGACTTCGACATGGCTTTCGATGTACAGCTTAAGAACGCACCTAAGTCTGAGTATCATGGATCCAAACATGAGCGGACGTTAGTAGAGTATACCTTAAGAAGGCGCTAAGATTGGAGCATAAGTCTGAACCGAAATAAAAAAATTTTCGAAGCATAGTGAATGTCATTCGTTTGTAGAGTAATATGAAGCTTCAAAGTACAAATATGCTTATTGCCACATTACGTGCTAAAGATCGCATTCATCTTAATTTCTCCAAGTTTGGTGAACTGGGAACGCCATGACATGGTTTCTTTTTTCGAAACATGACCATGGCAGGAAGGGAAAAGGAAGAGCTCACAACTTCATGGAGGGAGTTTCTACTTTTATCTGCGATTCCTCTTCTCTCCTCTCTCGTTCTCGTACTTTTCTATGTTCCTCCTCCGCGATCTATCTCCTTTGACAAACCGCAAATTCTTCACATATCGAAGTGATGGCCCCCTCAAGGTTTCTCGAATCTGAAAGCAGTACATACTAGTACATGAATGCTTTATCAGTGTCGAATCATCCATTTGAAAGGGTTCTAGACATTCAAGGGAACTTAAGCATTGGTATACTATTTTAAAACTAAAAAATAGCATAAAGGATGATTCTTCTTAAATAATGGAAGAATCAAATTTTAAACACGGCGCAAATCTCTGCTCTTGTTGAATTGATGAGTCTTCTATATTCTCGACACCTATGTAAGAGCACCAGACATAGCCTTTCAGAATGAATAATCAACGGGATATGTGGCTTTCACTGATAAAAAGGTAAAACGGATATTGCATATAAAACCAAAGTAATACAATTAGACGGTAAAACAGGAAACGCAGTGACCTTCCGTTTTGGCAGTTTGGAAGATGAAACAACAAAGTTTAACAAAAATAATATATCATCGGAGATTATCAATTACATGGAGATGGTCGTGATCCAACTGAATTCAGTGTCGTTTAATGTCAATTTTCCAGGTGAAGTAGTTCTCCCTCGTATCTGAATTTTGCCGTTACAAATTTTAATGGTGACTTAATGGTTCACGTTCTTCAATACATTCTGTCCGTGCTACGAGGTATACTATAGCATTCTTCATGGCAAAATAATGCTATCCAAGCCCGCAGTTGCCTTGAATGTGAAGTCTCGATGCTTCCACCGAAGGGCTTAGTGTAGCAGCATACGTAAGTCCATGAAATGGTTGTAAAAAGTCGATGTAATGCACAATTTGTGAAGAAAAAACATGTAGCATATCGGCCTGGTTCATAATCGTTGAATTACGCGAGGAAAAAATCATTAGAGTGTATAGTAAGGATAGAGAGGAACCTGAAGTCCCATTCCTTTCGATGAATGTTCCAAGAAATTGAAAAGGCAAATCTCACATTTTGCGTGGTCAAAATCATTAACAAGTATTGGAGGGATTTTAGGCAAAAAAGGGTCTTCCATTGCTTCGTGCATGAAGTGGGAAGGAGAACAAAGCGCTCTTTCTCATTTCCTCCTTGTCGAGAGAGAGAGGCTCTCTTCTCCGGAGTAGGTGTAATAGAGGAAAATATACCATACACCAGACCATCTTTAGAGCCTCAGGACTCGCGCCAAAGAGTATATGCAGAACTTATAAGAGTTTGGAAAGTTCCTTAGTAGGACTCTCAAGTAGTACATGGTATATGAGAGTTGATCATGAATTAATTTTCAGTAATTAAGTTGAAAAAGCACTCTAGTGAATTGTACCTTCAATCATATTTCTATCAATTAATCAAAGCTATCCTGAAATACTCACAGTCCTACCAGTCCATACTATTTTAAACAAATTCTTTTCTTATTTTGTGGTCTGAAAATTTGGAGGGGCCTCGTAGTTTCCATGGAATAACGGACACAATTTATTGCGAAGTGAATCCCTCCTAAACTTGAGGAACTCATCAAATTTTGAGCTCCAAGTCCCAGAATGGAACGAATATCAGATTGAGAATGCGGGAGAGTTTCTCACTGGTGGTGAGGATGGCTCGAGAATTTTGGGAGCGGTACTTCCCGTAGAAGATAATAGGGAAGACCTCGGGGGGCATTTCAAGCATCTCCTTTACCGTTTCATCCCCAATAATTGATTTCAGATCAGACAGTAACCTAGAAAGCAAGCAAAATCCAATTTAATATTCTCATGAATCCTAAATGAACACACGGAAGCGGTTTATTTTAAAATAAATTGTTTTTGTCTTTTCAACTCCAAGAAAGTTGTACGATATCAGTTTGCCCAACAGTAGAATCGACATTAATATTTTGTAAACAGAGGGGTGGTCCTCAAGTATCATGGTGATTTACTCGAACACGCTTATTCATAGCAGTGCATTTTTTCACCAAAAGGAGCCCTATAAGAGGAGCGTCAGGACTTACAACTCCCTTGCTGGGTCTTGAGAAGGTAGATGGCCTTTCCAAGCAATGAATTTATACGGTAGGACGATCCTTTCAATCACGTCCTCGATCCCACCAGTACCTCCAATATTATCATTTGCTCTCTTTATCAGCAACATTATTGCTTGCTTCTGCAACACGTCAAAGACAGAAACACCGTAGGAGCACATGATGAATTGCTCTTACCTTTTGGAGGCGCTCAAGGCAACATTTTTATCCTTCCCAAGATTCGCAGTGGCGTGAAGTACATGTAACATGAATGTTAAGATCGATCAAGAATATAGAACTTTTCCATCGTTAAATGACGTTTTAAATTACTTGGAATATTCTGAATCCGCTAGGGCACCTAAATTATGAACATGTCCATTTATTAATACATTGGAGTCCTCGTGGAAGCAATTGCAAACTTCATTCTGAAAGTTTCAACACAATAGGGAGACATGACCCCACAAAATGCATTTCTTGGTCAGGGTTTTCCCTCTCTACATATTGTGCTGCTTTTTTCCAATTATGGTTATTGGATGCAATCCCACATGAAACGCTCGCTGAGTTCGTGCGTCTTTGGTATTTATTGCAAGGGCTTTGAATGAGAATGAAACAATACATACTGTATAAATGTTACAGCAAAGGATATATATACTTTATTTTTCGTCGGAGAAGCCGCTGAATCTTTTTTTCCAAAGTGAAATATATTCTTGATGGAAGAACATGAAATTAATGTGGCAATACCTATAGGCCTACATGACATCCATGGAATACTATGCATGGAATTGGTCACCAACAAAAAATCATTTATGCTTTCTAATGAGTTCTCAGAAAGTTGATGTGAAGAGGAGAAATATACCTGTTCAGTATTTGGACTCACGTCTTTCGGGAAAGCTTGGCGAGAGGTTAACATTTCCATTTCATTCAAGGATCCCAGGAACCAAAATGATGATGAAGGCATGTCTGGAACGTTCAATGAAGGAGAACCGTGCAAAGAGGCAATTCCGAAAGGTGAAAGGAAAATCAATTGAACAAATTCAAATGCTGAGTCATTCGTCCAAGATAATTCATATGCTGACCTGTAATCCTACGATGCTCTGTCTAATAGAGCTAAAGTATAATGGAATCAGCAAATGCTGAATTGACTTGCATATCTGATGGATACCCAGTATCGATGAAATTGCTCAGATTTGGGGGAAAATCCGTTTATCCTGTCCCCAAATGAAAGATCAGAAGGTCCCAACCAACGATAACAAAACTCATCGAATGATGCTGCACAAGACCAGTGCCGTCTTTTGAATAATAATATTTTGATTTAGGATAATGAACTTTTTGGAAAAGATTTAGGATATTTTTAAAGATAGTATCGCAGGAGCAGTAAGTAAGACTGATCTTAAGACCGCCCAGAGTTGGCGCGGAAACATCTTGGTGTTTATGCCTAATACATGTAAATTGCTACAGGTAAGTTATTGTATAGATTGATTTATGGTACCAGTCAGACCATCATTAAATAGAACGAAAGAGATACGGAACTACCTAAAGTTCATTAAAAGAATAAGCGACTAAAGATGATCAGATGGGGAGAAATGAGGGACACCGGTGAGTTAGGCACCGGGAAGAGGAGTGATCTCGCTGGCCCCTAGCAAGCAAAACAACAACGACCGGATCAACGACTCACAACGATCCCGGCAGTCCCCAACTACCAAAAGGAAGCGACTGACGCCAAAATCCCCTGACGACCGCACTCCATAGCTCTGACCCCGTGAGTAGCCCCAGCTGCGCCCCACGGACCGTCCACTGACCTGAAGCACGGCGAGCGGCCGTATCGATTTTCCCGATCCCGTCCTTTGCGACCATCAACTGAAAGCCCTTACCCGCCTTCCAAATCCCGAGCTGACCAGCGGACTTAGTCCCCAGCAAACTCAGAGCCCTAGGAAGCGTCATCCCTTTTCCCTTTCCCCCGTCATAGGATCAATGACCTCCGAGACCCTGAGGGAGACAACGACGACCTCCCCCATAGAAAGTGACACCGACATCTGTCGGAGACCTCCTCCTCAAGCTCCGACAGCGGCCCTGAACTCGTCGTCGAATAAGACCAAAACCCAACGACTGACTTCTCTTTATGTGTGTGCGACGCCTAAAGGGAGAGTCATAAAATATATGCTTTGTACTGTTGACGTACATGTACTTTTCTAAGCCCCTCCACCCGGACCCACGGTGTCTCAAGTGCCGTATTCGAAACACGAATAAGAGAGGACACGGGAAAGCTCGGTCTCCCGTAACAATATTCCCTTCAAGTCTGATCGAATTCAAACCTCGAAGTTAGCTGCAAGTTGAATAAGTTCTTCTAGTCCCGAATATCCTCTCGAAAAGAAGCAACTCTCGCATCTGAGGCATTGCTTATAAAATCACTAAATGGAAAGTAGTGTCAGAGGACAGATTGAAGCACGATTCATTACCGTCGGGAATCAGTGTATCATCTTATTTTGGGGGTTCGGGAAGGACCTGTTCCTTTCGAACAGGAGAATCACCACGAACTGGAAGATCTGATGGAAGCATGAGTCATAATTATTTGAAAAATAATCATTTCTTTTCCAGTTGTCACAACTTTCATGATTACATTTTTTTCCTAATCAATGAGACGACGCTGGTGCTATACTGAAGCAATTTTATTACCCCTTTCACATGATATGTGAAGAGACGCGCACATATAGGAACATTCGTGTTTCGAGGAATAGGGGTCAAAGGTCAAAGGTCTAAAGGTTTGACTTTTAATCCAGGATTACTGCGAGTTTTACTCATTTCGTACTATGTGCAGCCGCACATTTTGTATAAATATTTCCTTTATACTTCACTATTTGGCAAATGAATTTCAATAGCTTCTCTGTTTGCCTATAAGCTCCACAAGCCTCACAAATGCTATAATATTCGTAAAGGTGAGATCAATTATTATACTTTTGTGTTGGTTTCATGTAGAATGATGGATTACAGAAAAGGAGGCAGGAAACTCACTCAGGGATTGGAGGGAAGTATCTGTATTATCTTTGTCTCAGGATGGTTTGTCAGGTCTGAGGGGAGGGTTGAATACTGCGTGCTCTGAGAAACCTATTTGGCATGGAAGAACACAGGCGTTGAAGGCAGGCTTCCTTCAAGTAACTGTGCGTCGAACCAGATTATATGAGGATATATAGATGGTAGCCCCTCTTCTTGGACTGAGAAGACCTGTTCCTCACCACGAGGAGGTTCGACCTGGGCTTTTCCCACTAAACAGAATCATTAAGAGACTCTGCATCAACAAGGAATATTGAAAAGAGGTGACTTTAGAAAAATTAGAATTTTCGTGAAACGTGGTTTCGAATTTTTTTGTATAGTCCTCTTGGTTGAGCGAAATACTTTAATTGGCTCAGTCAATTACCCAGGCTCAAAATATATTTTGAATTTCAAAATGTCTGACTTAGTTTGCGGCACTTTCTGTTTAATGTATCGAAGAAAAGATTCTAACCCAACTACGGATATTTATAAAGACATTCAATGTCATTATGAGGGAGCAACATATATGCACTGTTGCGAGTAGAGCCAGGGGTTATGAAATGTCAATAACTTGCCTGTAAATGATCAAGTGTAAAATGACAAATGTCATCCCAAGAAGTTACGAACACAGCGGGAAGAACTCTAAGGGATCCATTAGAAACATCGTATCAACTGCAGGATACGTTGATGTAAATCCATGCTTTAAACACTGAAATGTGATCTTTCATATAAAACTTGATCTGATAAATGATGATGGATTTTATGACCAAAAGAGGCTTAAAAATATATTATTCCTCTAACTTTAGTGCCACTATCCAGAAACCAGGCACAAATAACGCCAACGCCATATTAACTTACCATATTGTCAATAGGCATAAACTTCCAACGGTCAAAAAGTATATGGATTATGGATGAACGGAGTCCAATCGTTTTTCCTTTTGGGTTAGTTGGATGGGGGAACTAACAAGCTTCATTAAAATTTGAGCTGGTCAACAATCACAGATTTTTAATACTCCGTTTTTTAAATGCGAAATGGAAACATTAAATCTAGGAAAAGTTTGGGGATAACTTAACAAAAGCCTAACCTTTACATCTTCGGATACAAGGAAAAGAAACTCTTCGGAACTGCTCCCGCGGTCGAAGCCAGATATTGGAACGCTAAGAAACCGAAAATTCAACATTATACCCCAGTCTTTTTCATTAATGGCCCTACATTTTCTCAAATGCTGTTATCCAACTCATGTCCTTGCTAAATAAAATCTGTGTTCCTGCCTCTACATATGGCAAAAACGGCTGATCCCTCATAACATATTCCTGTAAGTCTATTTCAAGTTCATTATTCATCTCATGATAAATTTTCATCGTCTGTCAGAAATATAAAAGTATATGCATCAAAATCCCATCAGTTTTTCTGCAGTTCACTCCGCGAAAGAAATATAATTTTTTTCTCATTCCACTCAAATTTCCATTCGAACACAATTAACTTCCGCAACTGATTTCAATCACACTTTGACGGACAATCCTGCATTTAATTTCTCCGAGTATCCTCCTGTCAGTATTTGAATAAAGGGGGATACTAATATACGAGTATTAATCACTATAGTGAAGTAAGATAGTTGCTGTTATGAAACAGGCAATAAGAAGTTGTGATTGTAAGGACAACATAATGAACACTTTCCGAGTTCGTTCCTCCAAATTCAGCTCCCATTTTTGCATTGTGAACCGAACATTGAATCTTTAGGTGCTCAATGGTTTCAAGCTCTGGGGCTGACCAAGTCGTGTCTGGCTCGCAAATCACAGGTTGCCCACTTTTCCCACATGCCTCAAGCGGAGATGTACAGTTCCATTGGGATGCTATTGAGTAATACTATATTGACTATTTTATATCGTATCTTGTAGAAAGTTTCAGGTAGTGCCAGGTACTGAAGAATACAGTATTACAATTCGTATCGAATTTTTTTTATCTTTCTCACTGTTAAAATATGCACCAAAGCATTCGAAACATCTACAGCTTGTGGTTGATATACCACATGTACCTTTCGACAGGTGGTCCACTTGGTATTTCCCTTAAGGGCAATTGGAGTTTATTTGCCCAAAGGTCAAAGATACTCACAAGTAAAAAATATTAACTTCGTGAAGGATGAACGCTGACATAAAATGTAGAAATAAACCTCACCTTGTAGTGATTACAGTGAAGTATGGTGCTGAATAGGTATGTGTATTAGGAGAGTGCGTATGGTTTCAGCGGTCACTGCTTACAATTCGAATGAATCACGGATGAAGAGGGATGGAAAACAACCCCGTGCATACATATGTGGTATCTAATCTAAGCAGTTATCAGTTGTTTCGTATCCATATCTCCCTGATTCGGGGTACTACCATCTCCTTACCTCCGCTTGGGAAGTTTTCATTGCCAGAAGACCCTCCACACCCCCATGGTTGCCGAATATCGTGCTGAAATCACGTCTGATCGATGATACCCGACGATGATGATGACAATGATAATGATGATGATTATAGCCTCGATGGTCGATGCCCGGCCGGGACTTCCCTTTTCAGACGCATGATACATTATTGTGGACCGTTCATGGAGCTGAATCCAATTGGAAGACAGTTCAGTCATGAGATAATTATGTGATTAAGTTATGTTGTTTTCCGTGGAAGATGCTGGCATTACTACTGATGAAACGTAATTCCCATTTGTAAACTTATTTCCCTGACAAAATATTGTCTTTCAGCCATTGCAGTATGAATTTTGGCGGTGTGCTGGCGGTTAAACCTTAAAAAAAAGAGCATTCTTGGAAGCAAAGAAAGTCTTGACATTTAAAAATTTGCTTCGTAAACAGTCAATAAACTATCAACAATTAACTACAAGTATGGAATGGAAAACGCTTTTATAAAATATATAACAAAAACGCATGTATCAATACGTTGTCAGGCGAAGAGTATACCCGTCTTTGTATTGCAATGGGTAAACGCGTTCACGAACCTGTCATTAATCCTGGCAGCTATATCACGTCAAATCGCCATTAAGTTCATAATGGATGGCTTCTGGGAAGGGAAGTCACTCATCAGTCAAATACAATCGGACACAGACCAACTGAGAAAGGCAGCCGTTTTATAGCAACTAGCAAGGACATATATGGGAAAGTAGGTGCTCTTCAGGATAAAGTATTATGCTATCCCGTAAATCATTCGTGTCACTACTTCATTACTATTTGCTTGAAAGAAAAACAAAGTGTTCCCATTTTCTGTAGGGTTCTTTTATATTATAATGGGATTACATATTTGGTTCGTTTTGTTGCATAAGTCTTTCAGCTGTCACTAGTCTGAGTTCGTATCACTTCATGAACTATTTTCTATGAATTTTCTGCGAACGGTTCGCTTTGATTTATGTGGGATTCCTATAGTGAGATATTTCTCGTAATTCAAGAGTTCGATCACCGAAAATAAATCATGAAAGTAGTGAAGGGAAAGCACGCCTATTCCCCCTACGTTGTATTTCATCACTGGCGATAACATTTTGCCTTTTTTCAGGATACAAAGATGTTAAAAGACATCTAAACCTATGCGCTTCCTGCATGGAGAAAACCCCACGAACCATTTGGGAATTAGGCATTTTTCTCACCTATTATTTATTTTATGCTTCAGAGATTTGGTTTGGATGGTTCCCGAATGCTCGAGATCTAGGAAAATATCTAAAATCCCGGATGAAGGAGGTATCCCAATCTCTGGTCGAGGAAAAGGGAAGGTCGAAGTTACGTTTTCCGGCCAGGGAGCGTGAGGCAATCGTTTGCCCTAACTGAGACGTTTCAAGCCATGGTCACGGATGCGTGCGCCACTTTGCTCTCTCATGCCTTAGGATTATAGTCATTACCCTTACGAAAATTTCTTATAGGATACAAGGAATCCTATAAGATCCTATATGCCCCATAGAGTTCAGTTTCGAGAAAATGTTATCATGCACAATGTCTCCGAGAAATGGTGCCGCCCTTGGAACTTGGCGATAGTGAAGGACTTGGTTCATTTACGAGTCCATTTTTCTTCCAAAAAAATTAAGAAAACGAAGCCTCGAGCTGTTTCACTTCGACGTTTCTCTGAGGCAACCAATTTTTGTCCCCACTTTTGTACGCAGTCTTTCTCAACAGTAAAATTACATCACGTACGAAACATTTAAAAATATTATAATAGAAAGGGTAGTTTCTATTTTCTTGACAGAGTTCATCCTGTTGAAATGTTGGAATAACGAACCGGAACTACAGGTACTGACTGGAGCATAGGTCAATGCATTCATTCGATGATTCTATCTTATATTTAGAACAGGTCCAACTTTCTGGACTAGTAACACATTGAAGGAAAGAATGCCTGAAAACGATATGCGCACAATTCAAATGGGATTTCATCACGATTTTATCCTCTCCATGACATTCAAATGCAAGATTATGCCTCCCATGCCTGAAAACGAAGCCTAGAATGAAAGGCGAAGTGTATTTTTTGTGGACTTATATTTATACTTTTCTGTTTATTGCTGGACTTCGAAGAATGTGTTGCTGAACCCTGCTATTCTTAACGTGAGTAGTTTAGGTTTTGTAGTTGCTAACATATAGCTGCTTTACTCCCTTTTATTACCCTTTTGCAATGGCGCAGATTATAACAAAGAAACATTGACATACCGCCCATAGAGCTCGACTTTGAGTTTCAGGTGAGGTGTAAACCCAGAAACAAGGTGACTCAATTCTATTATTTTTATTGAATTGAAACGGTAACTGCCAGGGAAGCAAGAAATTTCGCTCTCCGGTTTGAAGCCTGCAAATTTTGTGAAAATTTAAATTTTCGGACGAATGATGAATTCCATCTTTCATATATGCAGCTCTGTCAACGAAAGCTATTGCAAACATCAATTGATTTAACAATCTAAACGTTCCTTTGATCACTCTGACATTGTACACTCTGAGAAATTCTTCCAAGATTGGGCAATTTCCAATAGCTACGCCGTGTGGTGGTGCTTTGCCGTGTATGCTTACAGTCTGCTTTCGTCACATATTGAAATAAAAATGTATGCCGAATGCTATCAAAGTACGTCAATAATTATATCCACGTCTGATTATAAAGGAAACTACCCTAACGAAAAAGTATTATAGGAAACCTATAGACTTTTCCTATAGGGTTTTCAAACGCGAAAAACCTGTAGGATTCCTTTGGGATCCTTTAGGTTGCGGTGAGGTTTTTTGGGTTTTTAAACCCTGGTATTACAACCGGAATTACTACTAAATGGAATAACTACTCTGTTCAATATCGGCGCTGTTTTTTGCCCTAAATTCATTACCGAGTAGGGGTTTTCCCAACTCGGGGCATTTACATCTTCAGAACTTGGACTACTGTACTGGTGAAACTCTCCACCCATGCGCTTTTCTATCTAATGGATGGGGAGTTTGGCGTATCTGCGAGGAAAAAAACATCGTGATGAGAGAGTACTCTATTCCTCACACATCTTGTGCAAACGCCAAGCAGAAGCTGCGTACATCATCTACTTTCTATAATTCGATGGGACAATTGAAAAAGTCCCAATTGAAAAAAATCCATATTTCTCAAGGTTTATTTCTGTCGGTGCCGGATACATCGGCCCATTACAACTTGATATCGAATGACATGATTGAACATCATTATAAAGACTTTATTTGTGGATGGCAAGATCGAAATGTTCTCATCATCAAATCACATGAAGTGGAATATTCTGATTTCGATTTGCCCTCCAAAAATTGAAAAGTGAAAATGCTATGTGAAAGCTATGAAAATACCGTTCCGTACGAGTTGAAACGGTAGAAACCAAATTATGTTCGTGCTACGAGCTATGCACAGCCTGTGTGCAACTTTTCATGCGGAATGTATGGCACAAGCATGAGAAAATGCAGAATCGGGTGTAGATTGAGAAACGGAGACCACTGGACAAAAGGAGTCTCGAACGCGTGGAATGACTTGTAACTCTCCTCTACTCCATGATCCACGTTCTCTAACGTGGAATCACTGATACCTGTCATATAAGAGCAATAAATATATTCACTGGAGTAAATAAACTATCAACTTATCTTGAACAAAAGAGGTTCATTCATCCTCTCTTCTCTCTCTTTCTTGAAAGAGAGGGAAAGGGAATTCTCACATATTACACTCACTTCATATCCGTCGCCTTCCATACTTTGTCGAAGGGAATTGTCCCCTGATTCACCCATCCTCCTCTTACATCAAGGGTATACGTCTCCGTCTCAAGAACTTCTTCATATTGTGAACCTCTTTGAAATAATCCACCAATAACAGAGAGTCCCCCTTTGCCGTTTCCCATCATCCCGTGATGACCTCTTGGGTTTTTTAAACAGGGGAGTTCCTCCCATTGCCCTCCTTTCATCCTGCACCTCCACACCTCCCTCCTAGACTCCAGCCCATCCCATCCGCCCGATATGTAAAGGTGATCATGATAGACGGTAGCTGCAAGACCTGAGAGAGGAAGAGGAATGTCTTGAAACGAGGACCACTGTCCCGTTCTCACGTCCAAGTACTCGCAGCTGGAGACTTGTTTCTCTGCTTCGAAATCCTGACCACCCAAGACAAGGATGGTGTGAGGATCCAATATCACTGAAGCTGCATTACTTCTCCTATCTTTCATTGGAGAGAGGGTCGCCCATTTCTCACTAGCTAGGTCCAGTTGTAGTCCTTCTCTAGGATTTGTCTCACTCCCCAAGAGGAAGAGGGAGTTCTGAATGATACATCCGGTCGTGCTTCACTACTTAACTTCCCCCAACGCTTCTTGGAGCAGGGTAGATATCCCCCGGAGTGCCCCTAGGAAGAGGAGATCTACCTCATACGCGTGGAGAGGGGGACAGGGCACCTACTCAGACGGTCTCACTCGGAGGTATACGTCCCCAACACCACCGGGACTGTTGACCCACAGAGTCTGGGAGGGATGAACTTCCCACATCCCAGCTCTCAGGTCTTGACCTCTTGCCATGGCGAAAATCCTCTGCAAACCTTCAAAAGAAACAAAACTTGAGACAGGAAACCCACCACAGAGTCAACTCGTTCAGGTGAGGAAATGATAAGAGATGTGTATGGGAACTTAATGCTCTGTGTCATCATGATCCTTGTGGATTGAGAGTTCGCCCTTACCGAAATGATTCTGTCTACAGGGTGTAAAGGTGAAGAAGAGGAAAAAGCACCTGCCCTGGAGACTGATTGCTGACAATGCTGAATTGGCAAAAGCACACGCAACTGGACCAATTCAATCCCATCGTTTTTCCTCTGACGGGTTTATTTTGAAATGGGGGGAAAATTTCATGAAGTTTCCGTAAACAAAAAAGAGCGTGCAAAAATAGGCAAAGTCGAACATTGTACATGTACATTACACCTTGTGGTAGCAACCTGTCTGGTGGACGATCGAATTTATAATGTTACCAGGTTCATTCAATAGTTGAAAGTTTAGTGAATGTTTCTCATTTTCCTCTACATATGCATCATGAAATGGACCGACTTAAGAAACTGAAAATGGACCACTAAATTATCATATCATTAAATAAAATGCACAAATCAATTTAATTATTTGATTTGAATTTTATAGGTGGTTATAGGTGTAATTGATACACATAGTTCCTGAAGTCTCATGAGAAGAAAGAGGCCTATCTAAATGAAAATACTTGGGTTATTGCGCGAGTCTGTCAGCTGGTCTACACATAATCGACATTGACAATCAACATGAATAATACTAATGGATCCATGAATGGATTGGAGACCTCTTTCTGCTAGTTGGATTGGGTTTAGTCCTGAGGATATGTGAAAGATGTCCAAGATGCATTGCAGGTCAAGGTCTATCCACAACGAATGTGATTGGTTCTACAAGGAAGCATGCAGGTCTACCCTTGGAGTCTCTACCGAAGGGACTTAGCCCTAAACTGGCCAAGTTCCTAAAGATTTCGCCTCATTCGGCACAGAGTAGGCTAGTGCACCGAAACGGAGACAGTTGAGGAGGAGTACATACGGTTGATTGCCATCGCGGAAGTTGAAGCGTCCGCCACATGCGCGGAAGCAGTGACAGCAAACACTCCTGCCATCTACGTTTTCGCCCAAGTTCCACGTCGAATCGACGTATCTGTGCCACAAGGGATGCAACTAGATAATGCCCTTAAAGAGTTGACAATGTTGCTGTTCGTACCGGACATTTTACCTCGCCGATCCGCCGCTCTGGTCTAAGCCTCAGTTACCTTAGCCTAAAGCTCGATGCCTAAGAGGCTATGACTTTTTCGGCCATAGGCTATGGAAAATGAATCGTGAAAGGACTCATAAACTAGAATCTCCGTGATCGGTACGCAAAGTGCTGACACTTTCACTGCCATGGACATTTCGGCCATTCTGCCCTAAACCTCTGTTACCTTAGCCTAACGCGCGGGGCCTACTAAGCCATGGCTTTTTCGGTCATAGGCTAGGCAAAAGGATGCGTGAACAAAGCAAATGAAAAGGTTTGGCTGTGAATGTGTTAATGGCTAGCCGCAGACAATTCAGCGGTGCAAAATATTGCTAGGAGTTAAGTGGATGAGACAATCGTACGGCAAAGCTACATTTTTCAATGTATTTCTACTCTGGGATGAATGAAGAATCATTATATATATATAATTATTTGCCATATTTTCATTTTTTGGTCATGTCATGACTGGAATTCCGCATACACAAAGAAAGTTCTACCTTTTTTATCATTACTGTCATGAATTCGACATATTAAGCAAATAGTCACCATATGTCCAAACAATTTGATTCATTACAATTCGATCATTTAACATGGAATCCCATTTATATTTTCCCCTTGTAATAAAAAATATCACAGTTCCGGAACGATTCTGAAAACTGACTAGTATGGTGAATTACCTGCTGACGGACAAACTACTCTCCTCGCATCTTCCTCCTTCTTAGATCTCGAAGGGTCCTGCAAAGAGAAAAACGCATGGAACTAAATGACCTAATGTAATGTTTGCATGGGAAGTCACGGTTACAACGAACACGAGAGGAATGCGACATGGACAGTCAATATTAGACATGAACATTGTACTTTTAGAAAGTGGCTTATTTGATCCAATTCTATCCAGTCATTAGAGGAAAGGGAGACAAGTGCATGGAAGGATGATTGAGTACGATGGAGGAGTCCTCTCCGGTCCATCTCCATCCAGAGTCGCATCCGGCTTTGTGCTACGGAGGATGTTCCCCCGTCGACGATGAAGAGGGTCCGAATGGCTCTGGAGATCCCCTCCACCACCCAGGAATCCTCAATCCCCACGCACATCACCTGTGAACTCTCGCACCCTCGATATTCCCTCGGATGGTAGATACGTGGCACTTCACCCTGATTTACACCACTCGCTATTTTCATCAATTTGAGAGCTTCGGTGAAGGTCACTTGGATCTCTCCATCCGAAATTAGCACCACGACGTCCCCCTTCAAAGCAGAATGGTATATTTAAATTAGAAGCAAGTTCATTCATTCAGTCATTCATAGTCCTGATATTTTTCAAATGAGCAGATGTAATGCAGAAGTTCTATGAGCATCTTTACTTTCAAGGGTTTTGTTGCGAAATATCAAAGGTTCGAGTAGAAAAGAAGAGAATGCCAGAGTGTTGGCTGCGGAGGGTGGGAGGTTAGTGAGATTCTGCTTTATTTTCAAGGATTCTTCTAACTGTAACTACCAGACATGACATCGAGCTTTTTCGTCCAGTGGTAAGGTTTGAAACTCCTAACGATATAGGTAGCCACCCAGGAGATGGATAATTTTTTACACTCACAAAGACACAATTCGTGACTACGACAAGCTTCCCGGCAGCTGAAACAAGTTATGTGTGGAAGCGTAATTCTAGACAGATTGCCAATTACCGAATCCTGTTGCCGTCGATTCTCTCATCTTGCAACTCCTTTTCCGTTTGCTTGCCACAAAGGCTCAATGAAGTGAACTATTCTCAGATTTTTTTTACTCTTTCGCTCATTCTCCAGCTCTTTCGCCTTTTCAAACTCCAATTGTCATGCGCCAAGAACTGATTCAGACGGATTGCCTGAGTGTAATAAGAATGGGATGAACGTACAAGTTCTTGGGAATGAAAGTAAGCAGCAGCGGTGACAGCGACGCATCCTCGACCACGGCCACCGATGCATTTCCATTTTCCATGGTAATGTCCGTCAGAAGGACTAGTGATGAGTATTGGTTTCTCCCCGAACACGAGAGAGGAGGGCTGGGGTCTCGTGTTCAGGGTCCCTGGCTTCACCCTCAGCTCCTTGGGGGATTCATGGGAGAGAACGTGATGAAGCAAGCGGGGGAAGCCCACATCACGGCAACCCTTTTGGACCACGACCCGTGCCTCTAAAGAACGAAATAAAGGAAATACAGGAAGGCTTAGTAGGCTGTCAACATGTATCCGCTTTTGGCATCTCAGCCAAAAGCCCAGCAAACGCTAGAAGGAAATTTAAAATATGGGAATACTCATGCCTGCTAGTACATCATATGCAAATCCGTGACCACCCATTTTGATTCCCCAGGGAACTTCACTTGTAAGAGAAAGAGCAAAACCGAAAATCTAGGAATAATGAGTACTTGACCCAAAATCTATCATTCTTTGCTCATTTCAAATTGTTACATCTCTGAAAATGCTTGAAGTAGAGAGCTGCAATTTGGCATGGAATGGTGTTTCAAGAACCCCTACAAGTTCAGCAAATATCATGGAAGTCGGAGGGGGTTAGGTAAACGGCTGTGTTGAGTGACTCAATAGAATCGAAACAGCTTTGAATGTGTACAACCTTTTAAAGGTTTTAGTCAGCACCCGTCCTTTTTCCTGTGTATTTCCCGCGGAAGACGCGTCAGACGTCATCCTATCCCGAACGCTACCTATCTTTAGGATAGAATGTCCGTTATTCGACACGGACAGCCTAATGAAGGCTGCACGCAGGGAACTTGAGGTCTAGACGACTTCCCCAACGTCCATCATTGGCCCTGCAGACCAACTGTCGCCGATGCAATGCGTGAGCAGTGGCGATCTTACCTGTCCCTGGGGGTGATTGGAAACCCATAAAAAATTCCTTCACGTCAAAGGTGGTTGTTGCATATCGGATATACGGCTGGAAGGCGATGGTGAGAGAAGCGAGGGAGTTGGGAAATCGTGAGGAGAGAGACCCAAAAATGGATTCCCACTCTTCCCTCAAACCTTCTGTGTCTCCAGGCTCTCCAATCGGATAAACAGGAGCATTGTCGAAGGCGATATGGAGTCTTCGACCTTCCTCCTCCTCATTCTCCAACATCTTCACCAGAAGTTTCTCAATAACTCGAGGAGAAAGAGATGAATGACGCCAGAGTTCATATTTCTCTAACAGGTCGTGAATATCCAAGACCTCAACAACGTTTTCTAGCCCTGTCCGTTTAATCCTCTCTTTCATCGCCACCAGAGAGAGGCTTTTCAAATTTTCATTCCTGTTCCATATGCTGCAGTCGACGAACATAATCCGAGCTTTGAATGCCATATCCTTGACCTTCCGAATTTTCTCGTTTTCATGTACGTACTTCCTTTTCAATCTGTTCACAAGAAATGTAGTCTTCCCAGAAAGACGCGGACCGAAGAGAAGCTCAAATTTTTTGTCCTCCATTTCGTGATCTGGTGAAGGGAAAGAGTCCTGTTCTAAGAAAGTGTTCCATGAAATTTGCGCATGAAGAGAATTGTCGGGAGGATCCTCAGAAACATCCAAAGATGTAAGACCGGGTGTTCTGAGCGAGCAGGAAGTAATAAGTCCAAGCTGTGCAATTTCTTCCCAGTGACTGGAAGGCAGTGGATTAGTGGTGATGACATGGAGAGATCGTTGGGCCATAGCTACCACAAGAGACCAAGAGGTATAGTAACATTGATTATCATCGAACAGGATGAGATCCTTGAATGACATCCCAGTCACCTGTTCTTCATAGAATACGAGGAATCCGGGTTCGGAATGCCCTCTGAGTCTCCCTTCTGAATCGATAAAGACGACCTTCATTGATTATCATCGAACAGGATGAGATCCTTGAATGACATCCCAGTCACCTGTTCTTCATAGAATACGAGGAATCCGGGTTCGGAATGCCCTCTGAGTCTCCCTTCTGAATCGATAAAGACGACCTCTTGTCCCAAACGATCTCCAAGTTCTCGTACTAACACATTCCTCTCAAACGCTGCCCTAGTAATGATGGTTAAAGGTAGGGAATCAGGCATCCATGATCGAATCGCTATGGCGGCCTCTGATGCCCATCGGTAAGCCCAGTTGTGTATTGGAGGAGCATTGATGAAGACAACCATTGCGTTCCGCTTCTCTTCCAACTGATCGAGACCATATTCCAAGCCTCGCATGGGTAGATAATACATGCACCGGAAACTCTTCTGAATGAACCGACTGACTTCTGTCACGAACTCTCCCAATTCCTTGGTGTTCCGTTTGATCTCCGTGAGCAGTTCCACCTTTTCTTGCCCCAGGGATTGGATGACTCTATGGATGTCGAGAGTTTCGGGGTAACTGACGTCACTGGGACGCCAGACGATCCAGACACTTTGGCATTCTACTTTGTTGCTGAAGTTCTTCCATCGTCCACCGATCAGATCTGGTTCCATTTTATCCAACCCAAGGTTGATCTGCATTTCATCAATGAGGACATGGCTTAGCTTCTTAGCATTGATCCTCTCAAGAATAGAATCTATTCCTACTTGACTGCTGCCTAGGAATTCAGAAGAGTCCATGATTGTGATTTTCTCTCTGAATTCTCGTGACTCAGGCCATTCTCTGATGCAACGAGTTAGCTCTCCATCTGACATGTTGACGACGATGACCGTTTCACCCCTTTCTGCTAGTTGCTGGGCTCTCCTACGGAGCAGATACGTTTTACCAGTACCTTGACCCCCGGCTAGGAAGAGAATTGATCGATCCTCCAATAAGATCTTTTTCTGATGGGGAGTGAGAAGTTCCAAGACTGTCTGCATCCTTTCATCGATGTTCTTACGAAGATCTCTCACCGTTCTTGGCATCCCATTCACAGATGCTGAGGCCGCCAAATATGTTCTCATGACGTCTAAATAGCATTCCTTGGCTGACTGGTCTGGTCCATTCTGACTTGTCAGAGGAATCCCGTGTTTCTCAAGGAATTCTCTAAATGCATCACGCGATTCCAGATCGTCCATTGTGAGAATGTTCTCGTGGCAGCATTCCAAGGACTTTGCGACGTCTCTCCTCCAGAGATATGGCATAGCGACGAAGCTACAGACGTAAGTGTGAGGAACAGCCGTCGCCCCAACGAACTTTCGGAAAATTCGTTCGCTCTTTTCCAATTGCCCTTCCGCCTCGCCAACGTGTCCTGTGAATTCTGGCTTGCCACTAGTTTGCTTCCTGCTTTTGATCTCGAAGAAAAGAGCGAGAACCAAACTACCAATCAAGGCGATGCTGCATACGTCGTGATCGCCCTGCTCGACAACCTGTGGATGAAATTCATCCAGGGATTTCCCGAAAGTTCTAGTGAAGTCGTAGTCGCACAGGACAAGACTTGGGAAGTCGGCCAAAATTGTCCGCATCCAGTTGAAAACTTTCGCAACTGCATCGGCCGGTCGAATGACTTTTTCCTGCGTGTCTTTCCTGCCAGACAGATACGGCAAGGATTTTACCTCTGTGTTGAGTACGTAGCCCGCTGGGAAGGCGTAGGATCCCTCCGCATCTGGATAATATGTTTCTTGATACTTCTTCGCTGCTTCTATAAAGGAATACTTCATGAATCCATGCAGATGAACCTTCATTCCCCCTCGGAGATCTTCGTCCAACTTTTCCAACTCTCTTACTCCAGACAGCTTCTTAGAGACGTCGCAGTTATGCCGGCTCTCCTGCGAAAGAGACACTCAATCTGCTATGGATCCTTTTCACCTATCGACAGGAGGAGCAAATACCATCCTTCGTTTTTACGAACCTTCTGTGTCTTTCCGTATCGGGCCCTTTTCTGATATCCCTTCTGCTCTGCTCCTACCTCTGCGCATTTCCTGTTCAAGCGGCATGGAATCAGAATGTTTTGACCATTTGCAAGAACCTCGAATTAATTAACATGGAATATGAACAATCTTTGCAAAATTTCCTGTGAAACCTTTTTCTTGCGTTTCTGAAAAAAGATTAATCCTTCGATGTATCCGGTCTTAATTTCACATATTCATAAATGCTCCGATCCCGCCGTACGGATACTTTTATGCTGCCTGAAGTTGTACCAGTGTATCGCCGTCATCACCCAACTCATTCTCCGTGTATTGTATAGGCTGGTATTAAAGGGCTAACCTCTTTCCTGAAGATCCTTCATTCTCCACCCGGTTTAGTTCTTCTGGTAGCCCTCCCCTCTCTTGGATTCCTTTCTGTGCCGGATCGACAGCACCCTTTGGAACTGGAGAAAAAATATTTTGTTGTATCCCATGAAAACATATATTTTAATCCCACTCTTCTTCGTGCAGCTTGCCGCCTTATGTAACGAGTGCCTATTAGTTGTATCGACGAAATATGTGAGGCCGCAAGACAGATAATGAAGAAGTTGCTCTTGAAAATTAAAAAAATACCATTGTAGTTAATATTCTAGGAAGTGTAACTCGTTACCAGAACACTTTACCTTCCAAAAAAAGGAACCCAGTTTCTCTCTTGGCACTCTTTCGTTACCCTTCCGACAAATACTAGTCAATTACGCTGCAGCGGTGTGCGTGCTTTTCAGATGATCTCATGATCAGTTGAGTGCATTAAGAGAGCATGGGCTTGGAATGACTTGGAGAAAAGCCGGATCCGTCTCTGGGTTGACTTACCCATCTGCATGGCACATAAACACGTGCGTGAGAGTATTCACATTGATTTTCTAAAAGAAGCAAATTCAGCAAGATAGAACAGTACAAGGAGAGGTACAAATGTGAGAGATACATATTTGTGTCCGTTGGGTCCGCATGCGTACCTCTGTACGTACCTTTGTGCGGATGTGGTCCAGACGTTCACATGGGTATGTTGCAGACGCAGATGTCCAAGTTCTCAATGCCATACTCAAAATAGGCATTAGATGGCGTTTATGTTTCCCCGAACATTCGATCTCAAGTCAGGACGCACCGGACCGTAGGAGAAGAGTTTTCTTCCTTTCCCTGTGTTTATCTTACTATGATACTTACAAAGTATTATTTGATGAATGTATAATTATCATGTTTCAAGGGCAATCAGTGATTCTGGACAATTTAAAATGGTGGAGTTTTTCCCCGTGGAAAGTGAACTGTAAACTTAGAGATCAGGAATTTTAGTCCTCTGTCGAATGGCCAACTTTCATTAAACTTGAGAGATTGTCCTTTAAAATAAGGTGGACTTGCTAACTATTGTCTCTGTGATAACTGGAGAAGCACTGTTTACGAGAGAGCTTGCCAAGCTGTCAGCATTTTATCAGTGATACTTCGTCGATTGTCGGAGACGTGGTGCCCGATGACGGTGTCATTAATGATGGTGTCATTAAAACTCACTTCAAAGCTCCTCACAACTGGTAATTCAGTTTCATGAGCAGGTTCTTAAATGCCCTTTGGCTCGAAATGAGGTACATATGGGATCCTCAAGAAAAGACCCTATCATGCCTTCTGAATAGAGATAAGAAGGATACACATAGTACATTATTTTACTTCTGTACCTTTCCAACGAACGTATTTTACGTAGGGCTGGGCGATATGGATTTTTCAAATATCGATATCGCCGACCTATGTATCACCCGATATCGCGATATCGCCAGGGTTCATTGGGGGGGGGGGTTGGTATTAATGGAGCATTTATTCAGGACCAAACCTCTTTTTTTGGGAATGATTCTGACATGATCTTGAATGCATGACATCATAGTAGTTCGTTGTTCTAAGGTAGGAGAGAGAACAAGTCGACGATCTCTGTCGCATGGCATGCATGATGTCTGTTTGCGATTAAACCATATCTCGAAAAGAGTCGCTCACACGGGACGAAAGTTCCGTGAATTCACAGGTACAGGGTGGTCCACAATTGTCTCCCCAAAAGTAAAAGCTCATTCCTCAGGAAGTATACATCCCATTTCAAGAATATATATCTCAAACGACAGCCAATTCAATATATTTTTACTGTGGAAAATTGCAATATTCCATAAGAAAAGAAAGTTACACCAAAGCAAATGAAAGTACCCATATCGTGCAACTAAAGCCTGTAAATATCACAATCCTTTTCTGAAATTCGCAATTCATTCGTGGGTATTTCATGCATCGCAAGGGATTTTCTGTGTCATGGGTAACATCAGTATCCTGCAGAAGACGAATATTGCCATTTGGTTTGATAATTTGAAGAAAGCAAATTTTTGCGTGTAAAATTTGGAAAGTTTGGGTCCAAATGCCTCTGTTCCTGATGGGATCATAAAGGCAATTTATAGGCGGGTTCTAACCTGAAGAGATTCAACGGCGAACCTATGACAACCTAGATATGCAGAAACAAGCGATTAGAGATGCCTTCGCCCCATTAGGACCAGAGTTGATTGAAATAATTCTGGTGGCATTCAAGGAGAGACTGCACCAAGTCATTCAAAATTGTGGAAGTCATATTGAACACTAATGATTTGGCGGCTTTCATTTGTAAGAATGTAACTTTGTTCTAGTTTCGTATGGAACGCTGAAAATTTCCAAGATAAAAATATATTGAATTGGCTATCGTTTGAGTCATATATCATTGAAATCGGATTTATGCTTCCTGAATAATGAGCTTTTACTTTTGGGGAGACAATTGTGGACCACCCTGTATTTGCGAGCCAGGTCGGGTGTCTCCGTCCGTTATGACTCTGCCATGTCGGTGGATCATCGATCTCCATTTCGCCGTTTTATTAATGTAAGTAATGTACGAACGAAATTAATGTCATTGATTTTGTCCTGCGGCTCTGCTTCTGCAAGTTCGCAGCTGTCCGTGTGGGTTTGGAAAGTGATAATTGCCTTGCATTAATTCTTGTTGGAGTCCGTGATGGACTCGATGGTAGATCATGATCCCGTGAGTGGTTTTCAAGATATTCCGTATTTCTTTTAGGGAAAGGTACTTCAAGCGTTTAAAGCCTGACGTGCCGGGAGCCGATTTTCCTCGGAACTGGGCTTCCACTTCGTCCCAGACAGGAGAAGTTGGAAAGTATGATGGAGTGGTCTTTCTAGCGGCGAGACTCGATTATCGCCACAATCAAATTGAGGTTGGAAGATGCGAGAGTATTGGTCGTATTCCAAGAAACTGGAATTTTTCTTCCTTTCAGTGCAGCTACCTTTGTCATATTCCGGATGGGTATTGCATTCGTTGCGAGAATAAATTCTAAATCCATTCCGCATTACAGACTTTCAACGAACATGAGTTATGAGTTTCCAGTTCTTTTCCATCAACGAAAATTGGCCGTGGTTTCATCATACTCGGTGGCTGACTGAATCCGAGTGCTGATTTCCATCATTTCCCCTCCAGGAAATTTTCCAGGAAATAAAAGCATCGGGGAAGATTGCAGTCGTTATTGTTAATGGCGCGGTTCGTATGCTCTGTTTCCCCTCTCCCGCGATGATAGCGGAGCAAAAAAATATTATTATTTCCAAAATTAAGATATCGCGATATGCAGACATATCGCCCATAAGACACACATCGAACGATATCGCGATAATCCCGCACAGCCTTAATTTTACGACATACGTTTGTATCTTAAAATGTCAAAAATACAGGGTGTCCACAATTGTCTCCCCAAAAGTAAAAGCTCATTATTCAGGAAGCATAAATCCGATTTCAATGATATATGACTCAAACGATAGCCAATTCAATATATTTTTATTCACTTCAACACAAATTTCCGCTGCTCAAATGTAAGTCTGGGATTTTGCATTATTACAACCAACTTGCAACTGAAAAAGAGAAAAGGTTACTGAGTTATGGGTTGATGAAGTGTGTATACATTTTTTTTGGACACCCTGTATGTACCTCATTGTACGTTTCTGCTTTGCTGTGAAGGAAGAAGTAGCGAAAAAGGAAACTGACAAGTCCATTTCTTTGGCAAAAGTAAGTCATATTTGCATTTCAGAAAGTTGAGCTGTTGTTATTCGTGCTAGAGAACAGTAATGCATTACAATTACGGAATTGCTTCTAAGTTACTCCTAATCGCACTGCACAACATTGCCCAATGAAGTCTTTTGTAGTAAGTTATGGCTATGAAATATGAAATCAGGAATATATATTCTGTCTTAGTGTAATTATTTAGGAAGCGATGGCGCTACTCCACCACAATATGGAAAGCATCAGAATTTTTTTTCCCGACCTCATTTCATGATATAATATTGAGTTGAACACCTAGCACTTCCTCGTAAAGACGTGATAAAAAAGGATTGCGGCTCACATGCATGATTTTGGGGGGATCCCGCTTCTTTGGAAGCCTGGCTCTTCCGTTTTCGTCTCCTTTTCTTTCCGGAGAAGCTGCCCTTGAAAGGGAAATTCGAGACGGTTCGTAAGAAACTCTGAGAATCTAGTGCTTTTTCGGTTTCACTTCCAAATTACTGGATTACCACACCCACAAGCGCAAGGACGGAACGATTGAGATTGCCTAATCGCTTGCAATTAAATATTATGTGGTTCACCATCCCTTACGGAAATGTCCTATAGGAAAGCTATAGACTTTCCCATAGGTTTTTGATACACGAAAAACCTTTAGGATCCTGTAGGATCCCTATAGAATCTTATTAGACTCCTGACCTAAAGGATTCGCGGAGGATTTTTTGGGTTTCGAAACCCAGGTATTAGGACGGAAAAAGCAACCGGGGTCAATATTGGCGCAGCATTTTTTGGTGTAAAACATTTACCGATTAGGGGTTTTCCCATGATAGGGACACTTGCATAACTAATACTAGTACCACCCAGGTCTGCATAATTTATTGTCCCTTCCCTTCGGTAGAGAGAAGTATCATTCTTCTCTCAACATAAGGAAACAGAAGGCATAACCTGCGAGCACGTTTTTTTTACTGAAACTCCGTTCGTATGAAGCCCAACTATTCCACGTGCATAGTTTTCAAAGGGAATATGGGCATATTTCTGGCCTGGACTCCATGATTCTATCTGGAAGATGGGGATGACGAATAAGGAAGTCTTAAAGGTTATTGATTGCTACAATGCGGCAAGGCGAGACATTTGGGGGTGTACAAAACCCTCTTGTGAGAGATGATCCCATGGCATTCCCCTCCCGTGAAAATACAGGAAACTCTTTACGCTCTTGGGTTATGAAGGTAGATCACCGGATCTCCTCTTGAAGTTTGCCTTGGGATATCCTTATATCCCAAGGCATATTCGGGATATCCCTACCCTATATGTCCTATAGAGAATCCTATTGGTCCTATAGCGAACCCTACAGGTCCTATAAGGAACTCTATAGGTTTCATAGGGAACCCTACGGGTCCTATACGGAACTCTTTGTTTCCTATAGGGAGCCCTATAAATTCTATAGGGAACTCTATAGGTTCTATAGGGAACCATATAGGTCCCAAACTGAACCTTAAGAGGCCTATAGGAACCTATAGGATTCCTATATGTTCCTATAGGAATCCAATAGGCATTTTCGCAAGGGATAATACGTGCCATGTTTTCAATGTGTAGCGATTCCTAGCTAGATGTCCCTTTTTTCACTTGACGTTAATGAGGCTAGTGTGCACTAGATCAGAATCTATTCGAATAAGATCAATTAGAAAGACTATCGGTCTTTCTGTTGTCATCTCCCATTTCACCCTACAATTCCTGAAATGCACCGTACTTCATAAGACCATGCTTCATAAGGGAATAGC